CAGGAGCCCCTAGTAGCGTCCTTGCTCCTAGTAGTAAGGCCAGGAGCTACTAGTAGCGTTCTTGCTCCTAGTAGCGATGCCCTTGGCTCCTAGTTGCGTCCTCTACTCCCCATACGGGTCCCCATAGCTCCTAGGAATTCAGGGAGTACCTTTCAGATGTTCTCAAAAGGACGGTCAGCCAGTCGCCTGAGGCACCATCTCCCGCGTTCTGCTCAATGAACGCCCTGCATCAAGAGTGCTCGTTGAATGACCAAGAAAAGTCAAGTGTGGTACCCTATCTTAGGATTGTCGAGTGCTAGTACAGTAGTGTGCAAGGTTGATCTCAGCGAGCCTCACTACACGAATGAAAGAAATCCCAAAGTCCTTCTTTAAAACAAAAGTGGACCCAGCACAAGTGAGAGAGGTTCAAAGAGAAATGTGTATTTATATCATCCTCCAAAATATCCCCTAGCTGGGACACCCTCCAGTTCACCTCGACAACTCTCACTGAATTGAATAGCACAGGCACAAGGATCGTCTACTGTCAGTCAGACCAAGTGGGCCAAACACGGGATTGAGATGGTTTAGCCTCCCAAGCAAACTGAAACCTCCGAAGTCCAACTTGATGTAAGACATTGGAAGAACGGTATTCCTGAGCTACTAGGAACAAGTGCCTGACTACTAGTAACAAGAAGCTATTAATTTAAATTTATATAATTAAATTCTAATAGCAAACATTGTTACTACTAGTAAGGCACCTGTTACTACTAGCGTGGCACTTGTTACTACTAGTAACACTTCGGACTCCTGAGTCACGGTATTCCGTACATGCGGACACAAGGTCTGTGTTCTCGGTTCGTACCAGGTCTGTAGTTCCTGCCTGATCTGATCCATGTTGCCCTTATGGATCTGCTCTCGCGAGCAGAACGATTCAGCTGCTTGAAGTGGGTTCTGAGCAGGGTGAGGTGTGGTTTGCACATGGACTGAATGTTGTGTCGTGAAGCTAGTGATGTGGGAACTACGATCCTAGCTGCCTAGCTGCTATCAATACTGAATGAGATGAAGGGGTGTCTTTTTTCTTGGACTTCCTGGAAGCGGTCTCCAGCGGCTGTATGCAAAGGGGCTTTGTACTTTGAAGGACAGCTGTCTATGGCATGGCACACTTCAATTAGGCAAGCACCGTAAGGACAACCAAAATGGGATTGAAAATTGACAACAATGATGGATCACGAAGCATCTCATTCAGGAAGCTTTTTCACGCACCCTTCAGTCCTGACCCCTGTTGAATGGAAGCTTCTTGGTGCCCATAGAAGGCCCCATATCCACGTCCCACACAAAATCATACCTGGAGGGCACCAGACATGCATGTTGTCTCTGAAAGCTCAGAAAATCTAAGGAATCTAAGGATGAAATATCGACGATCCTTGGTGTCTTTCCTCTATTGGCGCACTCGCCAGACGGGAAGACCGAGTCCCCTTCGTAGAAGACCTGGTAGCGCAAACATACAGGCCAGCTATTGACAGCAACACATAAATTCTTGACCCACAAACCTCAAAAAAGTTAAATACAGTGTCAGCTGCATAAGCGTTTGCCTCAGAATGCGCTGACCAGAACCGAGGGAGGGCTGAAGAGATAAAGGACAGGGGGCGTGTAGGGTTGGAAGGGATGTTTGGTCATGGACGATGAAATCACTAAAATCCATAGCGATTGTTTTCGCCGCAAGTAACAATCCAACTTTTGGGGGGGGTGCGGGTACATCTGTCTTGAATATCCTTGCAATAGTTTGCGTCCGAGTCCTTGACAAGTCCTTGCCTTGGAAGCCTAATTTCACGGTCTTGACCAATGTCAACGAAAAACTTCTCCAGAGCGTCTCCCACTCTTGACCGTCTTGAGCACCTTGGCGGGCTTCGGAGCACCCATGACTTCGCCCACTTTGTCCCAGCATCGCGCCCCAGCGTTCCACATGTAAGCGAAGACCTCGCTAGCCGGCGGATCGCTCGCATGGGCATCTGACACAGCAAGGGCACTGAGCTAACTACTGTCCCGTTGTCATTGAACATCTTCACGTCACCATTCCTGAAGCTCCACCCATCACACGTGAAAGGAATAGCTTCATTACCGGGCGGACCTATCTAGCAAGAGAGCTTGTTGTGAGAACACATAGGTCACGATAGGTACAGTAACAGAGAAAGAAAGCAACGCCAATACAAAACTGCTTGAATGAGGAGCAAAGGGAGAGAATGGATGGCGGTCCAGCAGCTTTCAAGCTTTTTGCGCAAACATGCTCAAGTCAACCAAACGCTGATTGGCCAGCTGTGCGATCTTTGTATTTGAAGACATGCAAAGCGCAAATCTGTACACGGTGCAGGGTTTGGACATCCACAACTTGCTTGTGGATGACCTTTCCCCCGCAGAACTTGGATTGGTTGTCCGAGCAAGGTTCGGCAGCGGGAGGGTCCCGCGCGTGTTCGAACTGCCAGACAAATCTTGCAACCCAACAGCAATCTATACAGCTGTTTCTGCGGATCGCAAAGTGCCAGCTGCACACAATGTCTATTGTTTGATCAAGGTTGAACGCAAGAGACACTCGTGTCTGCAACTGCATGGAATTCAACCATTCAATGAATTAATCTATTGCAAGAGTGGATTTGTCCATGCCATAGTGTGTTGTTTCCACAAGAGTTTGGCACGAACGATGCTGTGCAAGGGCGGCGGCCGGGCCCCACCCGAGATCAGTTCCCCTTGGAGCTTCAGAGGTCACAACGGCTCTCAGCTGCAGGTGTTAACACCAAAGTCTGGCTGTCGGAGTCACGCAGGCTGCAGACACCCTCCTCGTCGAAAGTGACCCAAACCCGGGCAATCTCCACTCCGTCATGGAAGACGCGCACACCTCCAAGTGCAAAGTTTGCATAGCTTCAATTACTACTAGATCTACTAAGAGCAAGAAGCTACTAGGGGCTCCTGGCATCGCCAAGAGTAACAATCATCTACCAAGAACATTCATGGCTTCAAAGGATGGGCGAGAGTATCGTGCCTAGACTTGAGAGTCAGCCTTTAATCACTTGGCCGGTTGACGCGAGCCATCTTTCAAAGTTGAATGAGAAACCCTGATCATGCCTCCATGATGACCAGAGCCGGACAAGCTCTTCATCTGATCCAGTTTGCCTGAAGCTGTGGCCAAAATCACTTCGCGAAGGTCATCTTGCTGAGTGAGGGAAGGAAGCTTCACCTCTCCCACCAAGGGCAAGCTCAAAATCCATCGCTCATCCTCTGTGACTGACCTTTCCGCAAAAATCATCTGCAATACTGGGCTAGACCGGGCCAGATTGGCATGCAGAAGGCAACTTGAGAGAGGAGGGGGGTGAACGAAAGGTAGCAGGGAATCAGGCGTAATCCGGGAGGAGGTGAGAGGCCCCCCACTTGTTTGAAGAGAAGTGAGTGAGCGTGATGAAAGAAAGACTAATGCACAAGCGCTTGACAAAACCTCCAGAAGCTGTAGCGGTCTAGCGGTTTCAATACAGGTTGACGTGCCTTCAAAAGGAGTCACATATTTCTCAAATGCAACTTCGGATTTACATAGTGACGTGCGGCGACCCTGTAAATTGCGTGGCCGCAGGCCATGCTTGCAAACAGGACGTGCTCAAAAACACTGGTATTTACGAGGTTTCGTTGCCGTCGATCCACAGCCGCGGCAAGGTCTAAGGCCACGCTTGAAGACAGGAGGAGCTGAAAACACTGGTATTTACGGTATTTTGTTGCCGTCGATCCAAAGGCGCACCACGGTTGAGCGCTGGAAAAGCGCAGAAAACCGTGTAAATACCGGCGTTTTCTGCCGAGAAGGTGCACAAAACCCTGTAAATACCATAGTTTTGTGCAATTTTGAAGCCTCCAAAAGCCTCAAAAACCCTTTCTGACAAAATCTTTCCTGGTTTTTGGTCTTTTTTCGGTCATTTTTCTAACCGAGACGCATCAAAAACCATCGGTTTTTGCGGTGTTTTTTGCCGGACAGCCACAAAAAACGCTGTAAATTCCATGATTTTTGGTCACTGCTGAGGACTGGAAGAGCTGAAAACACTGATATTTACAGTGTTTTCGAACGGTTGACCCCGAGGCGCGCTAGGGTGGAGTTGAAAGGGGCCCCCCCCCCCCCCGGCCAGCAAACGAAGATGTCGGGGACCATTTCTCCGAGAGATAGGCTGCAGCTCTGGGTTAATACATTTTTGCTAAAGCAAAAGGAAAACTCAGGTAGCGTAACCGCTACCTTTCGTGAAAAGCTGAAGAAACAATATGAAAGAATCAGAAAAACAATAAAAAACACATTTCAACCAGCTCTCAAGTGACTCGTGCTCCTCTTTAGCCGCAAAAAAGGTACCTTCCACGTCAGCTTCGCTGTCACTTCTGTCACATCCGAAGTCACTTGCAACTGGTGAAGCGGTCTTTGTAGCTGCATTGGTGGAATCATCGTCGTCGAGACGGGACAAAAAGCTGTAGATTCGCTCAGGGTATCGGCCATGCAGAATTCCACAGGGGATCCCAGCACAATGGGCAGTGCGAGCTGCTGCAATCTTCGTAGACATGCCACCAGTGCCTAAGGAGGAACCCGGTTCACGTGTGTCCACCTGCAGCTCAAAGGCCTCGGAGACCACCTTCATTGGTTCGGCGGCTGGATCAACGTTGGGATTCGCTGTGTAGAGGTAGTCCACATCTGTGAAGAGGAAGACACCCCCAGCTTCCAACTGAACAGCAGTCAAGGCTGCCAGATTGTCATTGTCGCCAAAGCGTACACCATCCGTGTTGGTGGTGTCATTCTCGTTGATCACAGGCACAACGCCAGCTTCCAAGCAGGCCGAAATGGTACGACGAATCTCTGTCCAGCGCTGCTGCTCCAAGAAGTCTCTTTGACTCACCAAGAGCTGTGCAATCTTCATGCCCACCGTCTCGAAGAGCTCCGAGTAGAGACGCATGATTCGACTTTGCCCGACACCTGCGGCCGAACTTTTGTCAAAGAGCCTATGATTCTGCCCGAATCACCTACAAGAGCTTCCCCCACTCGAACGTACTCCTTTGATGCTCAAGATGTATTTGCTACTACGGTCAGGGTACGTTGCCAGCAGGACTGCAAATTTAAACTCAGCCTCTGACCTGCGACAGCACGCTTCATCTCTGGATCCGTAGGTTTCTTCTTAAGTCCAAGCTCTCGACAACCCATGCCGACAGCTCCCGAAGAGACCAGCACCACCTGAGGTTAGGGCTTCGTTCCTTTTGGAATGAAATCGATGTCACATGGAAATCGGTGGTGCAAGCCTCTCGCCTGTGCTTAATGAAATCCACCCAATCAGTGTACTTTCTATTTTTGTCTAAACCTTTATCCTTTTGTATCCTTTTGTGGCATCTTTGGTGCCGGACCTTGTAGCCTTGGTGGCTCAAATCAGCGATCACCTCCACCAATCTCGAGAGGTTGGCCACATTCACGCGCTGACCGCGCTCATCTGAGGTCATGATAGTGGAAGTGCCCACCTGAACAGAGGCTCGGTCACTGGCAGGATATGGCTCCAAGGGAGAGCTTTTCGGCCATGACTTGACAAGGGGGAACTAGATGAATACGTACTGAGATTAGTCTAGGCCCCAAAGGTTGAACTCACGCCAGGTGTGGCTAAACAGTATATATGTTGATATGGGACAGGACATGAAGGAGTTTAACGTAAGGTACGACATCAAAACATTGCAAGAGATCCCAAGCCTTCAACACGAGGATACTGGAGTCACCCTTCATGGCGATCAGTTTTCACTTTCGCGGTACTGCGATACGACGATTGTCCAGAGAAAGGCGCTGGATGGAGCCAAAGCAGGGCAATTGGCGGCAAAAATACATTTGGTTAAAAAATATGTTATAGCAATCCTTTTGTGTTAAATGGATTGCCCTTTATTTAGTCAATGATGTTTGCTAGGCTTAAACATCATAAACCATCTTGGGCTTAGAAACCATTTGGACATGACATGCCCTGATGAAGCCGTTTGCGTCCAAGAATCTTCTTACCAACCATTGTTGGCATTCTGGAGATATCAATGACCGAATCCATGGGAACCTCAACAGCATCGGCGGGCCAGCTCCCACCAAGGTCCCAAAGCTCACTCCTAAAGTGAATAGATGTGGTAGCATCTGTGGTCTAAAGTAGACTTGTACCACACATGCATAACTCAAGTGAGAGAGCGTTTTCATCTGACAACGAAGGCAGCTGAGCGCTGGCGACTTGCCGCGCGATCGACTCACCGCCGGCACTCGGTCACCGCACCGAGGAGGAGCCCTTCTGGGCGGCGGCTACTGCGGCCTGCTGGGCGATCTCCTGCTGAGTCTGTCGCTCAGCTTCAGCCGCCATGCGCGCGGGGTCGCGCGTCCAAACCTTGGGTCGCGGGTCACAGAAGGTCACAGGTCATTCTTGAAGGCTTGAAAAAAAGATCCAATCCGGAAATGTCAATGACAAGGGAAAGGCCTCTTAAGAGATCAATCTTCCACTAGTCCACACATTTGTCTAAGCACTGGGCTCGCACAATCATGTCAGCACATGCAGTGATAATGTCCGAGTTGGGGAGTGGAATTGCCTGGAGTTGGTTTGCAATCATAGCTAGCTCTGGCCACCTTGCGCCTTTAGAAACCAAGTGAGTGAGCCTCATGTTCATTGTCTGATACGGCTGCACTATCTATGGATCACCATATACAAAGCTGCCGTCCTGCCAAACAGTTCCAGCATGAACGATGGACTGCTTGCATTGGCTGTCGTTGACCGACCAAACCTTGAGGGTAGAATCCTTGGCAAATGCCAAGAATGCACAATATTTGCCAATCTGAGTATTTCCTTCCGGCTCTTCCAAATCCCTACAAATGTACCACGTCCAATGAGTGGCGAATTCCCATCATGCACTTTGTTACGTGAGCTAACTTGTCAGTGCTAATGTGACTTCCGTTCAGCGGCATCTGAGGCTGAAATGATCTCGCTGTTGTCGCCAGAAAACGCGACCTAGGCTCACAAAGTACTACAAGTAATTATGGCTAATTTTGGGAAACGGCCTGTTATTACATTGGCACGGCATTGCCATGGAATTCACCCTTACACTTACTTATTATATACCTCAGAGTCAGGCCAAAGCTGATGGTGCACGGCTGATGTTAGTTCTGTCTGGTCTTGACTCTCAACTTGGTTCTCCAATGAATCATCTCGGTCAGGTCAAAATGACAGCTTAAGGAGCCGGACACCATAGACATAGGACTGATGCCCACCTAGAACCGACATCTGCAGTCCTGTCACAGCTCCGACCATTGGAAGGAATGGGCTTCATGTTGCATCTTGTTTTAAACCAGGCTCGATCGAATTGTCTTTTCAACTCAACAAATGTTCCATCGAAAATGACTCAACACATGTCCCACACCGATCCCACACCATCTCAACTCGCCCGGCGTGGCCATCGAAGGACCAGAGCTTCACTGAGCCATCGTTGGAGGCCGTGGCCATGCCCGTGGAGCTAGCAGTGATGTGACCTGCGAGAGCAACGCTGTGTCGATTTGTACGGGAAAACATGTGATCAGTCCGGTCTGCCAGGCCTTCTAAATATATATATATATACCTATACATGTACATATACATATACAAAAAAGGGTCTAAATCAGGTATGTGATGGACGATTCATCAAGGCCCTTGCGGCAAAACATCAATTTATCAAAATCTATCTGCCGCCCTGAGAGTCCCGACGGATAATGTCACCATGCGCCTGGTGTCAACAGTTTCGTTGATGAAGCTACTGAATTCGGCTAGACTTCTGGGCTTGAGAACGATTATGCCAACTGCATAACAAATAAACAAGCAAGCAAACGAACGAACGAACAAACTATTGGAATCACTGCCAGGACACAGTCATGGCGCGCAAGTGGAAAAAACCTTTTCCGCATGAACACAACTCTTGAGCCTGGTTCAGGCATGAGACAAGTGAAATGACCCTCAAACATGTGCCCATGTACAAAAAGTCGAGAGCGAGCGACGTTCATCAACACTGCTCAAAAGCTCTCTACCAAGCACTGCTGGCTTGGCATGGCCTTCAGTGGCAGCTGCAGGCGTCCTGTTCGGACGGTGGACCACCATTCGTCAGCGGCCAAGGCCTTTGTGAGCAAATCGGCCATTTGGCTTTCTGTTGGGAGCCAGTGTAAAGGCGGTCGGCAAGGTCGTTCTGGAGCATGGACTGCATCGGCACCATACAGCCTCTTCCATTGGTGAAGAGCCTCCCTCATTAGGGATTGTCGAACTCCGGCCAAATCGATGGCCAATCTCTTCTCAGTAGGAGCCTTCGGCACGCCCTCTCGATGGATGTGATCGAAGAGGCTTTTGCAATCGGTGACCAGGTGCAAAGGGATATAGGCTCCGGCTTCCGCCTCTGAAATGATCTCGCCATGGATCATGGAGAGGAAGAGGGATCTTAGGAAAATGCTTCCCTCCAAAGCATCGCAGCAAGCCATTGTCTCGCCAGCGAAGGTGGAGCGGCATACTCGCTGACAGCCCTTGCTCTTCCATTCGACCAAGCTGCAAGCACCACCGGGCCCTCCAAGGCAATCGGCATGCGCCATGAAGGTCAATGACCCAATCTGGGAGGCCACTCGATGATCCCCTGTCCATTGGGGGTCGCCATCGTCATCCAAGTCAGCATTGCCCCAAGCGGCATCGTGGTAGGAGAGGAAAATGATCTTCTCCTCGTCAATCTTCTTGATGTGGATGCCTTCCTCTTTGTGCTTCAGAGCGAGGCCAACGGCTTTGTTCGTGAACTTCAAATCCTCAACCTCCGGCGCATTCTGCTTCTTCTGTGCCTGAGAAACGAAGAACTGAAGGTCAGGCCTGGTCTGCTTGGCAAGCCATGAGAGACTGCCGATGGAGGTCCTGTTCTCTTCGATCTCCTCCTTGCTGACCTCAGACTTCACGGTCACTTTTGAGACCCGGCCCTCGGTGTACCCCTTCTGGCTGATGAAGACCTCATCTTCAGAGACCTTGTACTCGCAACCCACATACTCAAAGTCGGTGTCTTGCCATTCATCCACCGGGAAGCGCTCTTGCAGGGCCTTCTGAACCAAGGGCACCAGGGGCTTCTCGGTCAACAGCATGAGGTCGTCAACATGAGTAAGGAGCAGCCCAACGGTGCATTGGCGGTTGGAGGACACCAGCCTGAAGACGCACGGATCGATGGGGTTATGCTCAACATAGACAGCATCGCCTCCGACATTCAGGGAGAGGGCACAAAGGTCTTGTGAAAGTTTCATCCACCACAGCTTGGGTGAGGTGCTAAGCCCAAACACTCCCTTGACGACCTCGATCAACTGTCCTGGTTCGAGCCCCCGAATTCCTCCTCGCGGCTGGCGAAAGTATAACTGTCGAGGGGCTGGAACCCCGTTCAAAAAAGCGGCCCTGATGTCACCGACAGAGATGTGCCAGTTCCGGCACATAGCCAGTTGGATGGCGAGAAGGATGCTATGCCTGCAGGCTGTGGGTGCATCTACCGTCATGTCCTTCACGCCGAGGTCCGGGTCATGGTGGCCCGCAACGCAAAGCCTGGCTTTCGCCTTGCACGGAGAGAGGGATCCGTCTTTCTTTTGCTGTGGTTCTTGTCCTTGTAGGCGAAGCGTGCCCTCAGGATTCTTGATGGATCGATGGCGCTTTCAACCTTCTTGCTCTCCTCAACTGACAAAGGTTTGACTGCACCAAAGGACATAATATGCTCCTGCCACTGCTTATCTTCGGCTTCCAGGTAGAGCGGTCGCTCCTGGGGTGGGATCATTCCCCACGGCAGCTCCTTCTCCAACTGCTTTTCTTTCCCCTTTGCGGAAAGGCAGTGTCGGGCCATGAATGCCATCGACGAAGAAGCCTCCCCAAGCCGTGCCTTCTTGGTGGACATTGGCACGTCATCAAGTAACTTGGCCCTCCTCATGGAGGTGCGAATCAACTCTTCTCGATTGGCTGCTTGATGAAGTGCACCACCAGGAGCAAGTCGTCCTCCTTCCAGCTCGGGCTCCACCTCCATGTCTGCCCCTCCTTCACCAGCAGGCCGCTGGAACACTTCGGGACCTGGAGCATCGTGATCATCAACTTCTTCATATTCATCACCATCAGCTTGTGCCATTGCCTTGATCTCTTTCATGGCCACCTTAAGGCGCAGCATCTCACTGACTTCTTCATGTTTGGCCTCTCTCACATGTTCAGGGGCGGCTAGTAGGCATCGTCCTCCTCGAGCAAGCCAGTAGTTGGAGCCCTCTCTGCCGATCACGACAGCCAGTCCAGTCCAAGCGGCGGTGGGCTTCTTGCTCTTTCCTTGACGGCTCTCACGATATAGATAAACCAGTTCTCCAGGCTCGAACTCGCGACTTGCGACCCGAGGTTTATAGGAGACGGCCCTGGCGAGAGCATCTTTGCTCTGACATTCAAAGAAGGCTGCCTTCGCTCCAGTGCGGATCACTTGAGCCCGAGCGAACTTGGAGTCTGCGGAGGCGGCTTGAAGAGATGCCACCTCATGGTCACCGTCGAAGATGTCGACTCCATCACGGGCACTGCAGCCAAACACCCACTGGCGTGGGCTATACCCAGACTTGTTTCGCAAGCCATTCTTTGCATCGCTCACGGCAGCAGCGGCCTCCTCGATCTCGGACTCCACGACCGTCTTCTGCTCGACGAGCTTGGCCCAGATCAGCTTCCAGGTCGCACCATGACGTTCTGCGACAGCGTTCTGCCAATGGGCTTGCCCTGCTGCCGCCCTTACCACTATGCATCTTTCGTCGAGCATGGTGAGGAAGCTGTCCTTGAATGCCGAGTCGAGGTCGATGAGCAAGTGCTTTGGTGCTCCGGCCCAACGCACCCATCCAGAAACAAAGGCCTTGGCAACATCTTCGGACTTCGTGCTCGGCAAAGGAACCACCACCTGGTAGGTTGACGCAAGATCTACCAGGTTCAGGCAAGGGTGGTTGTTGGTCTCCACGGTGTCCACCCAGAGCACATCTGCTGCCACTGCCTCGTTGAAGTCCAACATGGTTACCGGAGCACTCATCTTGTGCAGCTTGGCCCGGGAGCTCCGTTCGCATGTCCTGCAAGTCAACTGCTGAGCGGCATTCAGCACTGCAGCAGGAGCTCCTCCAAGCCGTAGGTGTTTCACCAGGTCCCGGTTGCACGGATGGCCCAAGTTCTGGTGGATCCTCTTCAGCGCTGCGGCCACGGTGGGGTTGACCTTTCCTTTGAACGAAATGGCATCTGCTCCCACGCTCTCGGCCTTGTCCTGTGGAGCTTCCTCATCGGCAGGGGTCGTGCCCGTCGTGAAGATGGCGGTGGAATCATTGCGCCCCGTCCGCCGATGTTGGTCAAAGGCTCGGACCACAGCTGAAGCAAAGCTGGTGGGATACACTGCTGTCTCTGCGGTCAGCTTCCCTTGCACCAGTCGGTGTTCGCCGGCTTGATGAACACAAGCTCTTGAGATGGCAGAAGAGAATGTCTCACTGTTGCTCATCAAGCTCAGTGGTTTCTTCAGCGGCGCTCCGTCAGGACCCCCCACCAAACCATATCCGCAAAGATCGACCTTGGCAAGGTGTATACCATCTTGAAGGATCCAGCGCTGCATCAAAGGATGTCGCCAAAGGTCGCTGTTCCGGGGGTTCTCGACCACTGCCAAGCGTCCTCCTCCATGTTGGGCTTCCAGGACGTCATTCACAAACTCAATGAGGACCTGTTCGCCGGCACGAAGCCGCCGTAGCTCTTGCTTGGAGTAGTTGAGCTTGGAAAACCCGCACCAATAGGTGCAAGGTGGTGCTAGCCATGTCATTCTGGGCCGATGGAGAGCAACCTCTCGCAGGATAGCTTCCCGCTGTTCTGCCTGGCGGAAGTCATGGCCGAAGCGAAGATCTTTTGGTTCCAAGACTCCTCTCTTCCGTCTTGCGAAGGCCTCGGAAATGCGAGCCTGCCCGGCAAAAAGTTCCAGGCATTGAACCTCGGTGTCTTCCTCAGCCAGGGAGCTTTCATAGATGCATTGAGAGGGACGGAAGATGTCAACGGCGTCCTGCATGGGTGCACCAATCAACTCCTCCGCCCAAGTGCCAAATGCGGTTGAACAAGCCATGAAAACACCATGGCCAGCGAACTCATACGCCGATGAAGTCGCTTCCGGGCCCCTTCATTCATCCGCTTCCTATGACGGATGCCAGCTTTAGCTCTGTCCCTTGGGCTCAAACCGTGAGCCTTGGTGTGCTCCTCAATCACCTGCTCGGATTCCGAGGGGGTCTCATAGACATCTTCAAACTGGAAGGCATGGCCACCGATGAAATCCTCAGTGCGTGGCTTGTGGAAGGTGCCATCATCCTCAGACACCTCCTTATATCCGTCCTCGCCGCTGTCCACGTAGTCGCACAAGAGGATGTGGCCGCCGATGTCGATCTCAACCTCGGATCCGGAGGAGCTCTCCCCTCCTTTGCTCATGGACTCTGCCGCTGCTTGAGGGCAGCGAGACGGGCCTCCAGCACCTTGATCTCCTCCTCCGGAGCGACGGCATCTCCGACATCGGCCCAAGCGTCCGTCTCCATGTCGTTCCGTCTTGAAGTCCTCTTCGCGGGATGGAACGCTTTGGGCCGAGGGGCAGGGTGTGACGACACCTTGCTCCATGTAGATGCTGAGCTGCGCCCCTCCGATAGCTCCTCCAGGGTAGGCACCGGAACGGTCGCCAATGCCTCCGGATCCTTGACCAGGTTCTTGGTGACGGGATTGCTCTGAGGGGCCTGCTCCATCTCCTGCCGGGCCCACGACGCCAGTCGAGCCAGGTCCGGGTGTGCCTCCTCCTTCTTCTCTTTGACCTCGGCCACTGCCCATCGAAGGTAGCCGGGGGGCAGCTCCCGGTACAGCCAGCCCTTGAACTTGCCGAAGGGGACCACAGTGTCGGCGGGAGTCGCACGCGACTCCCTCAGCTGATGGATCAGCCAACCTTTCGTGGCCTTCGCAGGGACTTCGATGCCCTCCTTCTTGGCTTGGGCGGTGAGCTCCGCCAAAGAAAGCCGGGCGATGCCCTTCATGGGGTCCGGCACGCTGTTGGAGTCTTGCGTCCCCTTGCGGGCCTCGATGAGCATCTGGCGCAACTCCGGAAGCAGCCACCGGCGGTTGATCGGAAGATCGTACGCCGTCTCCAACTCCCTGGTGATCTCGTCTTTGCGCATCTTCCATGGCGAGGTCGAGGAGTTGGCCGGGGGAGGCATCCGTCACCAGGGCAAGTGAAGTCGGAATGCCAAGCGGGTTTGCTTTCGTGAAGCGGCTGCGCCCGATCCATAGTCCGCAAGAGGCAAACACAGCATCATCAAAAGAAGACTCACATGACTTGACTGCATGCTCAAAAACCTTGACATGAGTGCCTTCTTCAAGAACAGGAATGCACTCCGTAATCCGACGGCCGTCCAAACACTGCACGAGGGAGGTTTTGAGATGTCCATGAACTGTGTTCCACTTCCAGGGGTTGAAGCCAAATTGACGAGGGCTGACATGTATACGCAACATCTCATTGGGGGTCTCAATCCAAAAATCCTTGCTCTGGTTGGCTCCCTTCCACCAAGAATAGAATGATGCACTTGCCACAGGGGTAGCTTGCAAAAGGTTCTCAATCTCCTTGGGGACCTTCTTTGGGTAGAACTTGGAATGGAAGGGAGCTTCCCCGTCTCCCCGAGCACGATCGGAAGCAGCAGTCTCGCTCATGTATGCCTGCGAGGTTGGGATCCAGATCACTCCAGAACCAGGAGCCAAGACAGGTGGGCTTCCTGACGGAAAAGAAGTCACGGGCACCCAGTGTCGCTCTGTTCAACTGGGAGTCCTTGTACTCCGAGACGGGCCATGGATAATTCCTGGGCCTCAATGTCAAAAGTGGTGCCCAGCTCAGCAAGTGCAGGGCGGCTCAAAAGCAAAGGAACCTGGCATTGAACGATGGAGATCTTTGCAGCCACCCAATGTCCGGCGATGCCGAACCAAGCCCAAATGGCGAAGGTGGACTTGTACACTCTCGAGGCTCCAAACTTGAAGTGTTCAGTCTCATCAACAATCATGTACTCATGCTGGCGGGCTTCTGCCCCTTCGATGAAGTGCTCAAACCATTGGTAGCCCGCCACCGACTTGGTGCACGCTGTGTCGACAATCGCCAGCATGCGCTCCTTGTCAGAGAGGCCACCCTCCAGGAGCTCGGTGATCGGGGAGGCCTCATACTGCGTCATGTAGCAGGACTGGACCGTGTGGCACACTTGTGCCTGTTGCACCTTCTCTGAGGTTCCTGAGCTGGGCGGCTTTGACTGACCCTTCAACGGACACTCAGGGTCCTTATGCCAATGTCCTCTTCTCTTGCAGGCACTGCAGTAGGATCTCTGCTTAGCCAGTCGAAGCCTCTCTTCTGCACGCCGCTTCAGCTCGGACGGGTCAGCTCCTCGGCCCTTCAAGGACTCTCGGTACTTTGCCTTCGCGCCCTGGTAGGTCATGTAGGCGGTGCGCTCGGCGATGGCGGTCTCCTCATCAACCAACATGGAGGCTTCGCTGCCTTCAGCGTCCTCGTCAGATGAGGCGCCATCCACGGTCATGTGAACCGATTGACGCCAACGGGGACGACCTGAAGGACCGCTTGGCCCCCGAGTCTCCTGGGGGCTCCGTCCGCGCCGAAGAGTTCGATCCTGCACCAGGGCGGCGTGCTGCAAGCGGCGGACATCGTACTCGTTGCCCACCGAGGCCAACAAGGCGAGTTCCTCTTGCTCTGAGAGGCGCAACTTGTCCACGTAGAGCCAGGCTTTCACCAAAGGAGGCAGCTCGCACCTGACCTCGTGGAGCCGCAGTACCAACCGTTCGAACTCAACATTGAACTCTCGGACCGACTGGTCCTGCTTCCGCTTGCATCTCCTGAAGAGGTCGTTCATGAGCTGGGAGATCTTGGTCACCTCGACGTCCATGAAGCGGGTCTGAACCCATTCCAAAAAGTAAGGGACGCCCTGCGACGTGCTCAGGACATCCAAATCCAGCTCCTCTGCTACGACCCATGCCTTATCCGTCAAAGCATCATACAGGGCAAGAGCTCGATGAGCCGGTGGAAGCTTCGTCACTCGAAGCCAGGCCTGCACCCTTCTCACATACGACCTGGCCGATCTGCCGATGGATTCGGCGTCCTTGTCATCAGAGGTGCCACCGTCAAAGGTCGGAACTTTCACCCGTTCCGTGGGTTTCATGTCCTTCTCCTTGAAGGCTTCAGTCTCATAGGGATAGCCATCCCAGTCCCGGCCTCCGGGATCCCCGACGGGGTGGAAGGATCCAAGCCACTTGCCATCTGAGGTGGCATTGAGCCTGCCGAGGGGAGCCGTATTGAAACGGCGAAGTTGAGCGTCCGACAACCAGCCATTGGAAGAAGTCTTCGCATCCCAAGCAGCATCATCCCAGCCTCTGGCGTCTGCCTGCCTACGAGGGCCACCATAATGGCGATAGAGCCATTGCTCATCGCTCTCCCCATGGTCCTCCGGCCAGGCAAGCGCCCAGGCTGCTTCATCTTCTTGCCAGTCCCCTTCCCACGATTCATGCCAAGAAGCAGTCGGCCATGAATCATGGTCCTCCGTGGGAGGGGCCCCCTCCTGTGCGGCCGACGAAGTGGCGCCCCCGGCGCCCTTCCCTTTTCCACCTTTTTCATGCCAAGCAGCCCATGGATCCAAAGGAGCGGCGGCATCCGTGGGCTCACCATCAACGGCAGGTGCTGCAGCCGAGGGTCGAGGCTGCCAGATCCTGCCCCGTGAACCAGGCGTCATGCCCTGGCTCGCAACCAGCAGCTCCGCGGCACCAATATTGGAATCACTGCCAGGACACAGTCATGGCGCGCAAGTGGAAAAAACCTTTTCCGCATGAACACAACTCTTGAGCCTGGTTCAGGCATGAGACAAGTGAAATGACCCTCAAACATGTGCCCATGTACAAAAAGTCGAGAGCGAGCGACGTTCATCAACACAAACCGAAACAAAAAAAGAAACTGTAGCGAATTGATTCAGCATCAGCGACAGTGGGGTCCTCATCAACTTTGTGAACACAAGACTCTCCACGGAAGACCCGAAGGGTTTTGTCCTTGCAAGGTCCAGAGTCTAGAAGAGGCCATCGAGTTCTCAAAAGTTCTGTTGTCAGTGTACTGAAAAGGGAGCACAGGGTAGAGAAGCCTTCAACGCAAAGTGTATATATATATATTGTCTTCTGTGCTCTTCCAGACTTGCAGACTTGGAGATTCCACAAAGACATCAATTGACTGCACAAGAGTCCTGTGATCCTGTGACGATTTCCCCTGTAGGAAGGGTGGCCACTGCAACCGCGTGTGCACCTGGCCCCACAGATCTACACTCACACCCTTGCCGAATTGGCCGCACTCACTCTGCATTCGCTGTAAAATAAAGTGCTGAAAAGTGCTGAAAGCAGAAAATCCGTCTGAAAGCAGATATGTTCACAGGACGGTTGATCCCTTTCGCCCTTCAACCTTCATTCCCTCCCGATTGCTGTTCTCTTGCAAGGCATCTTCTCTCCCACCAGCAAGGACGAAAACGATACAGCCGGCCATCAAAGTGCGCCTGCTTCTAAGGTGAGCAAACAGGTACCATTCGTGATATCCCACACCTGAAGGAAATCCGTTGAAGGTCTCTAAAATGTATCTCTCTTGGTCCAGTGCCTACTACAAGCAAAACTGTTCAGGAGTCAGCATCAACCACGAAACCCGCCTTGGCGGTACCATCCCAAGCACCTGTAACTACCTGCGAAGCAAAGAGACCCAAGGAAGGACGAGAATGAACGAAGGCTCCCACAGCATAGCTCCACCAGAGCTGACTGCTTTACTCAACAACAAGAAAGTGAGCTCTGCCTTCGCACCGATTTCCACGATGGAGCAAACAGGCCTTGTGAGCTGCTCTGGTTGTTTGTGTTGTGTCGAGAATATATAACATCATCTGTTTCAGTCTGAGAATGAACAGGCTTCTGGCCCTTCGTGACCTTGGAACTGAATACCTCGCAGAAGCTCACAAAGCGTAATTGAAAATGAACGGCTGAATAAATAGGTTGGAGGCCATCGCTCTTAGGTCGGAGGCCATCGCTAGTAGGTTTCTTTTGCTATTATTTTCCTATATCGGCTCAAGCGCCATCAACGTTACATCTTGGGGCCCCAGGCATGGATTGCCTTCTCTATCACATTTGAAGGCAAGCCTGTCCTTGCAAAAACCAGAGATATGAGGTGCCAATTTCAAGCGACAATGATATCTCATCCACCACCCTACATCCTTGCAAGAAGCATTTGGATAGATGTGGCACTTCGCCACGCGCGCACGCGCCTTGGATCCTGAGTAAAAGGAGCCCTTCTCGCTGTGTGAGGGCGCCAGAGCAAAGACCTTGGTCGTTTGTGGTTGAACAGAACGTGAATAGAATGAACTATGTCTGTATATATATATATGCATACATAATACGTGTGCAATAATTAAGAGTGTTTCCCAGTTACATTCATGAATTGATGATCTTGAAACTTTAAAGTAATGGGCGATCTTGCCGGCGGGTGGTCAGTCTCACAACCCTTGCAGCAAGATTCTTGAGGCTGTCACAAAGTCTGTGTGGTGCTTCAGGGTCTTTTCTCGGATGAAGCCTTCTTCCTCGCTAGGTCTTCGCCAAATAATCACCTACAGTCATGATTTAGTGTGAAATCACTTCTGTGAATCAGCAGTGTTAAGGGATGCTGTAACTGTAACTACCACCATTTCTACAGCAATCAAAGGCCTGCGAATCCAATCCGCCAGAGACCAGCCTGCAAAGCCAGTTGTTCTTAATGAAAATTGAAATATAAGTTCAATGAGTATTGCCTACTAGCGATGGCCTCCAACCTACTAGGTAATACTCAGGCCAGCTGTTCAGCAAAGCTATGTCGCAGTTTCACGCAGTCGCCCTCCACTGCAACCAGGAGACGCCCCATCTGAGAGCAGAGCTAAGCAGCGCACCTAACAAGGGTGACAGTGTGTTGGAGAGTTGGAATTCTTCGAAGCACTCAGGCTCAAATTGAAGTATCTCACAGGTGGAAGATCAAATCTCCCAGATCAGCCTGGCTTTCGTGCCCCTGCAATTGTTGTGACAACTCAAAATCCACATCCATAGCTGCTCAAGTTGGAGCAACGTCAGGATATTTTTTTCTCGAGGCGTCAGGATGGAATAGATCAAGTTCTCGAGGGTACGTTAATATATGGTATATAAAGTAATATAAATATCATAATGTATACATGTATATATAGTTATATAATGTAGGGTGTGGCAAAGTATGAGTTTATCACAGTCTGTCTGAACTTTGTTGAGGGATTTTGAGGTTTGAACTTCCAAGACATTCAAATTCTGCCTGACTCAAGCCGATGGCTGCGGCAATCGGCGTCGAGTGGTTCAAATGGCTCACACGAAATATCAATGTGTGCTTGCCATCTTGAGAAGCCACACTCACACTTTTAGCCAACCTGTCTTAACAAGCCCTGTGGCTCTTCACAAGGACTTGGTGGCAGCACCACGTAAATTGTGTCGACAAAGTATGGGACAAGGACGAATCAAGTCAGTGTGATGTTCAACATAGATAGACTGACTCGGATTGCTGCCGACAGAAATGAGTGAAACTGGCAAATGAGCAATGAAGTTGGCAGTCTGCCCTCTCGCAAGCCATCGTCAGGATGCTCAGATCGTGCCTTCAGAACCGAAGATGAATGTGTTCATCTGGGATTGGCCTGATCAAACCCAGCCTCCACCCATCATGGAGATCGAGCCTCTGCACTGCAGAAATCCCATCGAGCCTCAAACAATCTTCGGCCCACGACAGCAACACTTGAGGCCAAGGGGGGGCGAAAGCTAGCGCTCCAGAATGGGAAAGTGGAGGGCAGCGAGGTAGGAAAAAACACGGCGCTCTTTTTGGAGGCAGGGGTGAAGAGTCCTTTATATGTGGCTCTTTGCCCGGATCCTCCTGCGAGAGAAGGGAGAGAAGAGAGACGGAAAGACGAGAGACAGAGAGGAGAGAGAGAGAGAGAGAGGAGAGAGAGATGAGAGAGATGAGAAAGAGATGAGAAAGAGATGAGAGAGATGAGAGAGGGAGAGAGAGACAGTGAGACAGTGAGACAGTGAGACAGTGAGAGTGAGAGTGAGCGAGTGCGGCCGCAAGGGGGGGGGGGGTCTTCGACCAAAATCAGGGGTTAGGATTTGCACCCGGTCGAAAGAAACCTTGCTATCGCAAGAGTAACTCCAGCTAGCTTCGCTAGCTTTCGTGAAAACCCAAGAGTAGCTCGCTATACAATTGATATACAGCAAGCCATGGTGATTTGGAGAAACCATCCCAAGCATTCCCATGGCGCACCAAGCTTGTCGGCGGCTTCCAGCGAGGTGCCGGGGTGGCTGGCCAGCCTTGAAAGTTCTGCAGTATATAATAAATGTACTGTAAGAGTTTCTCGACCCTACCCCACAAGAAGAGCCAGCTAATCAAACCCTGACCAGACAGCAAGAATGTTTCAGCTTCAAGCCTTGCTTTACTTCTGCAATCTCCAAGAATCCTGAGGCCCTCAGGTCCCTGCTGATGCTTGGGCGTCCCCAGATCACCACATCGCGCACCTGATGCAAAGAAATTAACCGAATGAAAGTTTAAAAAATCACCTTCATAGTTTAAAGGGGAACCCGCTTTCATAGTGTTGATTCATGATTCACCAAAAGCCGGACACGGCGCTCCACGGCTCTCCACACCACGCCTTGAAGCGGATCGGCGCCGAGCTGAGCAAGCGCCTCCTGAGAGTTGATCGGAGTGGGATGACTTCAAAAGAACTGCATTTTTGGAGGGATGACCCAAATGCCCAGTGATGCCCAGTGTGGCATGTTTTTGGATGAGAAGCTCTCAAAAAAATCGATCGCCAACGATGTTTCATGGTTGGTTCGTTCCCAGTGATGCACTGTAAGGGGCCTTGACAAAGACGTGAGGGGCAAGGGGAGGCCACTAAGCCACCAATCTGTCACTCCACTCCTTGCCACCCCCAAGCCGATGGCCTAGTGGAGCTCCGAAGAGAGGTGCCGGCATCTGAGCAGCGCACTGGGAGGTGGACACAACACATGGCAAAAGCTAAGATAATTTGCAGACGTGTCGGTTGGTTGATGGATTCGTCAGTCGGTGGTTTGGTGGGTTGGGCAGGCCGATGGAGCGTTCACTCTGCACATAAGTGTGCTTTGCTCGTGAGTTAACCGCAGCAAACAAAGCAATTTGGTGTTGGGGCTAGGAGCTTCAAGCAACCAGGTAATGGTTCCCGTGTGAGGTTTAGACCCAATGATTGCCATATGCAGTGAACTGCAGTGATACTAGCACATGTTCTGGAGGTATGGTCCTTGAATAATATTCTATATGGCAGTGTCGGCTTCACAAATTTGTCTCACCTTGGTCGCTGTCTTGCTCAGGTCCCGAAAATTGCAGGCAGCATACCTGTCGCTTCAGAGAGCCAAGTCCTGCACGATTCTCATCTATCTATTCTCAACCAAAAAACATTGCTAAATTCTCACAGCATTGCTTTCCATCGGAAAGCCTCCCTCGGCGCACGACTGCAGGGCCGCCATCCTCCTTGCCCTCATCTTCTTTCCCAACCGGAGGACAGCCGCCGATGGGCCGCAACCTTGGCAGCTTTAGTTCAACAAAACGACACAACTTCAGTCAGTGGCACCGGCACGTTCAGTGTTTCTGGGCACGCTCCTAGGCTGCTTGTTGCCCGGAGCTAATGAAGTTCAAGACCTGCTATGTTTTGATATTGTGTCTTTTAAATAGCAAAAATAGCCATAGCATGCCAGAGTCTTCTTCTTTGTGGCAGACGTTCTTTGCTTGAGTACAGTGTTTCTAAGAGTGTCATCTCCTTGTCTGAGTGTATGGCTTCTCCACAGGCTGTTCCTAGTAACTTGAGTCACCCGAAAGTGCCACGTCCGGAGACCCAAGAGGGACAGATGGTACAGTACTTCCAACCTACTAGCGATGGCCTCCTAAAAGCGATGGTGCTGGACAAAAATCTAGGATAATAAAACATGCAAATGTCCTGGCTGATCTGGCTCATCCGACTCCCGTTTCGCCGAAGAAAGTCATCCACGTAAGCCGTGTCATAAGAGTAGGAACCTCACACGGTTTGCCCTTCTGGTGCCATCCAGACGATCGGCTTCTAAGTAGCACGACTAGACAACCACATGAACCAACAAGGACTGGTCTCAAATTTCAAGTCCATACAGCCTCAGTCCCCAACGTGCGAAGGCATCTTTGGCAAAGTGTTCGGAACCTGGCAAGCTGTTCTTGCACCTCCCAAATTCTGTGATTTGTTTGAGATTCGGAGGCGCACTGTCCAGCGCCAAATGGCAAATGCCATAGAGGAACCACGCAAGCCCATGGGCGCTGTCGCCTGCAACTTGCAACTCCTGAAGGGAACTCGAGGCAGGAATGAGCAACCTTTGCATGCGTCCACTTCCAATCGGCGTTTCTCTCGATGTCGATCACTTCACATTGCACAAGAAAGCCGAAAATACTAAAATTATAGTGCCTTGTCCATTCCTTCACCCCGCGTCCTCCAAGCGATCACAAAGCTTCTCAAAGTTGGCCAGGGCTGCCGCGAAATCTTTGGAGCGCAACTGGCCTGGGGCTCTGCAAAGGTTTCGCATCCAATGGAGGGCAGTTAATGAAGCTGGTGATTCTCCAAGCGCGCCTCATCGAATGAGAAGACATGGATCACTAGGAGCCGGGCAGAGTGCCAAGTTGAACATACACTCACATTCAAAGCAGGAGAGGCCTCAGCTTCGTGCTGATCAAAACCACTGTGGAAAGTCGGAGTGCAAGAGTCGACTTCGGCGTTGCTCGAGCGGACGCCCCGGAGAGTATTCTCAAGATACTACTGTACGAGTTGGGATTTTACAGCTAAGTTCATGCCTATCTGTGCGTCCGACATTAGAAACAGAAAAGTATTTTGATATGTATACAAAACACACACGGCGCGGGAAAACAACTGGTGACTCCTCACCAGATCCGGATCGCATTTGAACAGCGGCGTTGTCTCAACCAATGATAGACCCAGCAGAGTAGATGTAATTGAAACCAGGTTGAGTACTGCTAGCTCAGGTCTAGAAAAGCCTCGAACCTGGAAGCTTGCGCTATCTGCTCAGCTCAACCGCTTCAGCTTTCTCCGAGCAAATAGGGGTTCATCCTCGTCCATGAATATGTCTGCGACCCCGAACGGCATTACCTCGCCCCACCCCCTAAACCCCCAAACGACAGAAACTTTCCCTAACTGATTTCAATGGCAAAACACAGGTCGAAAGCATTCATCACGACGATAAATCCTCGTGCCCCAGAACTGACAAATGCATATACTATACATGCGCGGGGCAGGCGCCGTCGAAGCAGTCGATATTCCAGTCGGGCCTTCGCTGGATGCTGTTTCTGGGCATGGCTCAGATGCCTGCCGTTCCCAAGTCGCCTCAAAAATGAGGTAGAACAAGAACCAGGCAGCGAACCAGGCGGAACCAGGTGGCATCAGTGATTGTCGGTGAATGGCATGCAAACAGAAATAGAGCTGTGAACAAACAAAGAGCAAGCTATGAACAAACTAGTAACATCCAGTGTGTTTCAATGCAATCATCAACGCGCCTCCGAAGCGAAATGCCTGGCCAAATCTAAGGCCGCCGTAAAGTCCTGTGGCCAACAGTTGTCAATAGGGTGCCATGGGCATCATCATGAAGCAAGACCTATTCAGCAAGCGACGATCTGTGTCCTGAACCGCGGTCGAATCTCCGAGGTAAAGCCTCAGCTGTGATGATTCGATCTCTCAGATGGTAGCATTTTTGGAGGATTACCCCTTTCACAGGCAAATTTAGAAGGCGTCCAAATTGGAAGTCACAAATCATTGGGGTTGGGAAAAGACGGATCAAACAACTGGAACTCAAACAGGTGTTTTTTGCAGATAATGTTTGAGGGACACCAGCATGACATTCATGACTTTTGCAATGCTTCTACACGTTTCCGAGACATGCACGAGCAAGCTCCCCTGTAGACCATCAGTTCATGTGGAAGGAAAATGACCTTCGTGCGGCTGCATGGAATCTTCAACTGTCAACTACAAGGGCAGCAAACAAAACGGTAAATACATCCTGCTGCCCAAAACACCCAGTTGACGAGAGAATTCTCGAATGGAATTGACCTGTACTATTTTGGGATGGCTGTTGCAACCTGCATGTGCAGAATGTCCACAAGTTAGCCATGCTTTTTTTCAAAGCAAATCAAGGCTCCAAGGCATTTAGATATAAAGACTGCAAACTGTAGATGGAAGCAAGTCTAAGTATCGCAACCCGGACCTCTTTAGCAAACAACATGGAAGTGGAACCGCGGAAGAACATGGAAGTTTTCCTTCGTACATGTGACATGTTATAACCTCCCCTGCAAGAAATGTCAAATTCACAGGGCAAACTGAGATCTAGCACTGGCAGGCCATCAGAAGATGCCTCGGCGCGGTCTCAGCACAGTCCAGCTACAAGTGTAGTGACTTTTGCAAGAGGTTTGTTCTGGTCCAACCAGCCCAGAAGAAGTTGGCCCAGAAAACGCTTGCGATTGGCGATTGTGATACCAAAGCAAAGGTCCAAGGATGCTGAGGACCATGTCCCCTGAGTCATAGGGCGAGATCACCCCAGAATTCCCTTTGCTTCGCACACTCGGGTGCCCCCGAGTGCCCCTCTTGGGCCCTGGCGACGTTGCCAGACTGCAACATCATGCCCAGCCCTTGGAAAGGCTTTGCCCACTGGTGGACTTATATAGTGCCCAAAGGTTCTGTGATGCACGGTATAAATATATAAATATAGATATATATATATATATGTATTATAGCAATTATTCTGGTGGAAGATTGAGACCTTGGCTAACATGTGCATGGCGCCAATTCTCCTTCAGCATGACTGAAAGGATGCCAACCTCGGCAACAGAGGAATAAACAAACACCCGTGAAGTCGATTAATATGTCTGGAGGGAAAAGCTTGGCTGGAACGCCTGTTGCTTCCAACCAGTCAAATCCATCGTTTCCCGACAAAAGTCCGATGGCTGGAAACAAAATTCTGAGCACTGTATCTTTTGGACTGAGGAGTGCACTCCATCTTTCGCTCGGACTGCAGAAGGCATCCCTGGACCTTCATGGCTTCCGTTTCGGTCTAACAAGAAGCCCCCCCCACTTCGCCTGACCCGTTACAGTAGCTGGATGGTAAGTCGGCCCGAAAAAAATGTTTCAACCATCATTGAGACCCTTGCGTGCACGTACAGCCCTGCCAAGCTCCTGTTCTGCACCATTGAGATTTCCAACTTTGAGGTGTGCCAGTGCCTCACGGAGCGTCCCAAGTTATTTGAGAACGTGTTTCGCAAAGTCATGCAAATTCATAGAAGAAAGGGATGACGTTCCATATATGACCCTCAGCCACATGATCAAAACTGGGTCTCTGGCTCGCTTGAAGGCCAGCCTGTAGGTTAGGTGAGAAGTCGCTTGCGTCGGCAGAAAATGTCCGCACAAAGTCAATTGGATCTCAATAGTTTTGCTGGCAATCCGTTTGACCTTAGACATCGCCTGGCTGTCATTGGCTCTCGCAACTTGATGGCAGTCCCAAACGCATTGTGGGCCTCAAGATTGTTTGGACTGCTAAGTGCGCATGCATGATGGGTCTCTGCACATGCTGTATTTGATGTCAATGTGGTGACACAAAATCATTTTTGGCAAACCTCTAGCAGCTAAGGCAGCACCCTTTGCTACGAGGGGTAAAAGGTAAAAGGTAAAAGGTTTAAGAACAAAAGCGTTTGGAACAAGCGTTCTTGCTAGCAGTACTGAGGAGTAGTTAAGACCGTTCTTAAGGATGAGATCCACTGTTGAGCACAGCCTCTGGCTGTGCTGTGGTCACATGCTGGCCATTGCTGGAAACATGTGGCAAGTCTTGGAGCAAAGAACGCCTGTTGTAAAAAAAAAAAGGAAAGGTTTTACAGTAGCAGCAGTAGCAGTAGCAAAGGGGTAAGGCATTCCGGGCCTGCCTCCGAAAGGCGACCGTACTGAAAGCAGAGATCCCCGTAAACCTCAAGGCTCTGGGAGGGAGCTCGGGGCAGCAGGACCAACATATAACATGAAGAACACAAAATTGAAGAATATTATACAGTATACATGACTTCTCTCTCAAGAACTAACTCTTGGAGAAGTTGTAGACAATACAATTTAAGATGGAGTCAAACAAAAGCACGCGCGCACACGCGCACACGCACACACACACGAGTCACAAGCAACCAGCCTCATGGATGTCAGCCCGGTCTGGCGCCAGAATGAGAGCTGCAGCCACATCCTGTGTAGTTCTGGTTGTTGGATATGTTCCATATTCTTCCGCGTTGCTATGATCGCTTTCATGTTCTCTGCATGTCTTTAGCAATGCGTATCAAAGGTTTCACCGCTCAGGCACGGGTGCTAAAAGCTTCCTTTCTTTTCTGGGGGTCGAAGCTTGATCGTATAAAGCCCCGCTTGAGCATGCTTGAAATGTGACAAGCAATGGTTGGACTGGTTGGACCGGACCCCTATCCTTTTGCCCACTTGCCTCAAAAGCGGCTTCAACCTCGCCAATCTCTGAGAGGCACCATGCCCGCATGACTCGAGCATCAGCATGACCCCTGTGGAGTGGATGCTCCAGAGGCTTTTTGCCGAATCTTTCTTCGACAAACCCTGCACTGACAAACAGACAGACAGACAGACAGACAAATAGATACAATGGAACTAGAGCAACTAGAGTTGATACGGAGCAATCACTCACAGGTAATCACATCTGAGGACGACAACCCATTGGAGAAGTTCCCTTCTAGAAAGGCATTCACGACAGTTTTGTCATGACGACGAACAGCTAAACATCCAGCCTGTTGTTCAGCGCCAGGACTGCAGAGCATGCCTCCAGCGACCCGGCTCACAGGAACTCTCACGGACTTGCCCGAACACTTGCAGGTGTTCCATATGAATGCGTCCTTGGAAGATTAGATGTGTTTATGTATACATATATATATATATATGTATACATATGCAGATACCACTGAGGTTAGGGAGTTAGGTTCTGACTCCAAAGGCCTCGATGGCTTCTGAATGCCGCTCCAGGAGCACCAGAACTTCAGCCTGCATCATTACATTCGCGGACCAATGCGACAAATTCATGTTTGAATGGAATCGTCTCCACATGATCCCCTTCTACCACCTCTGGGTAACAAAGGGCATCGCTACTAGGAGCAAGGACTCTACTAGTAGCTCCTGGCCTTACTACTAGGAACAAAAAGCTACTAGTTTCTTTTTTCTTTTTCCGCTGCTTCCTATCTGCCGCAATGCCCAAAGGGTATCGCTACGTACAACATCCACAGGCCTACAGATACCCGGGACACTGCGAGCCTCTAAGGACCGCTGGCGGGGTGCGGAGAGGTCATAGCCTGGGTGGCTCGCTCCACAAAGAACTGCGCCATCTCTACGCGATGATCGCAGCACGAAGCCCGGAAGAACTCAGGCCACAAAAAATGTGTGTATATGACATATACTATATATATTGTATGTTATAATACACATGCACGTAACGTACAGCAATACACCTAAGAGTCAGCGAAAACTCAGAGAAGTCAACAAGGTCCAGACCTTCCACGTTGGAGCGACGGCCAGAGCAGCGCCTGCCACTCTCACAGAGCGCCTGACGGCAAGAGCATTCGCCGTGGTGGCATCAAGGCCACGGCATGTGGCAAATATATAGATTTAGTTATATATCGTCTAAGTCTATACACGATATACGATATATAAATACATTTTAAAAATATATGTGTATATATTATATACGTAGTTACGTGGTCTTCAAAGTACGTCAATCAGAAAAGCCTATGTGCCTTGACTTGTGCAGATCTCTCGTGGGGGGGGACGTGGATGCTCAGACTTGTCTTGACATGGCCTCCCAGGCGTCATCTGGCCGGCCCAGGCTGCAAAGACAGGCTGCCCTCAAGTGTGCGGCCCCCAATGGGGCTGAGAGGCCGGCAATCATCGCCTGCAAACGAAAGTGCGCTTGTTACAGTGCACTTGCCAGGTCGATGTTCTGTTCCAATGTCGTTTACCTTCCTATTTGATTTGGTTATAATGTGCATCCAGCTTGATGATGCAATTTCAACGATCTAAGTTATCATAGTTGTGATAGTTGGATCTAATTAGGAAAGTTGGTAGCTTATTGCAGAGGCCAAAGAAACAAACGAGCTTCAACAGGACTTCTAACGAATAGGGTTTGGGGCTGGGCATTTATTGAATTCTTGAGGAAAAAACAACAAAAAGAACGTTCTGTTGCTTGGGGATGGTCGCACTGGCACAGCAGACAGGTCCATGCCTGTTGGTCCACTGCCTCCAGATCTTGTACTGCATCTGTAAGCAGTTGAACCACTCGCGCATTCTCTGGCGCCGCACCCTCAACGTGGAAGGCAAGGCAGTCATTTAACACCCGATGGAAGGCGGCTTGGATGGGAGAAAGTTTAGTAGCTTCTTGTTTCTAGTAGTAAGGCCAGGAGCTACTAGTAGCGTCCTTACTCCTAGTAGCGATGCCCTTTGTTACTAGTATATAGCTTCTTGTTACTAGTAGCGATGCCAGGAGCCCCTAGTAGCGTCCTTGCTCCTAGTAGGGGCTAGGCCAGGAGCCCCTAGTAGCGTCTTGTGGTTCTGCATCTTCTTCAAGAAACTATGTATACATACCGAACAACCTCCCAAATGTTGCATTCCAGAGCCTGCTTCCACAGACTAAGTAACAACAATCTCATGCCACGTCAAGTGCGTCCGCTCCCATGTCTTTGAACTTGAAGCATCCTGAATCCAATATCCAAAATAGGACAGAAAGACCCTCATCCATGTCCACAGCTGCTCACGCCTCCTTCCCACGATCCCAGGCTGCACAGGCCAATGCAATGGCTCGGTGCAAGCGCGTCTGAGGGACCGTTGGACCAGTGGACTTCGTTGGATGCACAAAATGGCCGGTTTTTAGGGTCAGGGATGGGACCAGAGTTGGTGTCTCTGACTTGACTGAAATTACCTGAAAGCAAAGCAACTGGCTTGGCAGGAATTGAATATTCTTAGTTTGGTGTCCTTTCAAGTCTTAAGTCCTAGGATGTATGATGATATAAGCACTGTATGTGTGTGTATATATATATACATACGTATATGTGTACAATCACAAATGCGCACATCCAAACCAAGAAGAGCAGCGAGTCAACCAGTGCCTGCACATTCACCGGCTGCAGCCGCAGGGCTTTGGTGAAGCAGCCGATGGCTGCCTTGCAAGTCAAACGTGGAGTCAGGACGCTCAGCCGCCTCTTCCAGAGGCGAAGGCCGCCCGAAGGCCAGTGGATGGACAACGCGATGTCCTCGCGCGTTGTTTTGCGCCTCGAACTTCAACTCTTGGAACTTCAAGATTCCAGCAGAGACCTCAAAAGAAGCTTGCAAAGCAAATAGACAGCAAGAGACAAAAGGATGTGAAGGCGTGCTGGATGGCTCTGTATCTGAGCTCAGCGTTCTAGTATGAGTCGAGCCATCCTTCTAAAACTTAAAACGTGGAGGGTCAGTGTAACAGTCCGTGCTTACAACATGTTGCGAGAGCGGCACCTTCAAACACATTATGAAATCCTTTGGTTGCAGAGTGGAAAACCCAAAGTGTAAAACTTGAGGCCGAAGGGGGGCGTCGGCCCCATGCCAGCGGAAATACACACATCCCAGAGACGTCCCAGGGAAGAGTTGAACCCGCGGGGGGGCCCCCTACATATGCAGTTTTCACGCGATGCGGCGCTCTCGAGGGTTCCAGCCCCTCACTTGCTAAAGCAAGAACAACTCCAGCTGGTGCTAGCTTTCGTGACCTGCCCAATTGCCCCGCCAAGCCACATGCATGGTGAATTGGATGGCTTCGTCACCAGGATCCTTAGGGGTCAATGGGTTGATGGCCCGCACCTAAAAGAGGTCCTATATCCCACGGCCAAAAAAAACATCCAAACCGCTAAGCACTTGGCAACCAATAAAGCTTGCCGACAATCTGCAACAGCCTCATGAAAAATGCCATAAGGGGCTGGCTTCAGAAGCCAAACATCTACCTACCTCATATAATTCCAACACCAAGAGAAACTGCGCATCTGCTTCCTTCAAAGGATGCAACGTCTTCCCACCGGCAAAGGTCACACAACGCCGTCACCCGCAGTTGGAAGAGCAGGGAAGGTACCTGAAACTCAGCAGCCCCACAAAAACATATCGCAAGTGTTCGGCATTCGAATCATGTGAATTGTGAAGTGATTTCTCATGTTTTTTTGGGGGGGCGTAGGCTTCTAGGAGGTAGGTAGCTAGGTAGCTAGTACCTACAAGTAAGCTACTAGTTACTAGTATGGACGCAGCATAACTCACGCTTCTTCAAGGAAGTGCTCGCACTATTCATGTGGTTCCTAGTCTTGTAGGGAAACTTGCAGTAAATTCAAAGCCCCCGCAACAGGCAGGCATTGCAAGAGAATTCAACTCCAACAAACTATCAACATGTTGGCTCAAAACCACTACTCACTACTCTCGCACCGGAGCAGCTCTTTGCTGCGGCTCCCTGGCAACCAGTTGCAAGTAGGTGCCTCAGGCATAAGCAACAAACCAGCAGGATGTTGTGCCCTAACTGCGCTTAACACCATCTCAACACCGTCTTTTTTTGTGCAAATTGGTGACCATAAGTAGTCAAGGTTACCTTCGGGCTACCTCCAGGCATGCTGAACTTGGCTGAGACAATCACGGCATTCCAGCGCTTGCTGAAGGTCGTCCCCTTTGGCTAAGTCCTGCTGGTTCCTTGTGCCAGCTTGCTGTGTTCATGGGAATGAGCAAAACGCCTTTTCCGTTTCATTGACCAAACGAAAGAGACAACCCATGCTTCACCAGAGGCAAGCGCTTCACCAGAGTCCGTGCAGCCAGCCACCGGGCCTGCCCAAGCACCACTCATCCACCAAATAAATAGCCAAGTGCATCAAGAAGATCAAATATTTTGCCAAGCGGCTACAGCTACGAAGCCACATAAATGACGAGCCCAACTCTCACCACCAATCGAAACTCGTGTGCCAAGTGTTGAGGTGAGATGTCCCAAAAAGTTCTCTGGGCCTCCTCAGCACTGCGGCTGCGAGCAGACAATGCAGCTGCAGCGGCGCCTCCACTTCCAGCCTTTCCACTTCCAGATTCAATGGCACTGGCACACGCCTACATCTTGCTTTGAGAGAAAGCCATTGTACTATTTTACACTGTTACATGTTACATATCTGAAATGCATACGTGAGCTCGCTGCTACGTGACCACATGATGCTCGAGCCGTGCGAGAACCTGGACAACATGAGAAGCAGCAAATGACCAGAAACGGCGGTAAACAAACATTCTATGTGTTGTCCTATCTTGCACCATCACATCAATTCAACACACAGGTACTACGCAAGAATGCCACTTAGACAATGCCGCCGCTCCCTATCCTAGCGTCCACCTGAAGCTCCACCGACTGATTCCTTGGGCTCTGCCTGATCACGTCCACATTCGGATCGTTTCATTTGGGAAAGCTCAACGCAAAATAACCTTTGGCCACAGGGAATAACCTAATGCCTAATGCCATTGGATGGAGCAATCTTTGCTTCCGCACCTCTAGACAGGCAAGGGTGCGATCGAGCAGACCTCCGGAACAGACCGCTGCAGGTTCGATCCGCACAAGTTACAAAATACCGCAGGCCTATGCGTAACGTTTGCTTACTTTTGATCGGCTTGGTCAATGGCTCAGGGCTTTCTTTGGATCGCGTGCTTTGCCACTCAAAGCCACTGCAGCCGAACATATCCACCTCGAAACAGCACAGATTCACTTGAAGCCCTCTTATTTTCAGTCAAGGTGAGTCGCACTCAGTAGTTGGAAAAAGTAGGTCAGCTTATCGACACTGTTGTGGGGTCGCCAAGTGGCAAGGTTAGTCGAACGGACTGAGATGAGGGAGCCAACCTCGCAGCCTGAGATGCTTGTTGAGGGTACAACAAATTGTATATGCTGGTGCAACTATGTAACAGTATTGGAATTAGTTTGAAGAACAAGGTGTTGCAAATGAAGATCAAAAAACATTGGTGCGGTGAGGTGCCTCGTTCAAGTGGCGTAGTGCAAGTGGGAAGTTTGGGTCCGACCGCATCATCATCAAAGCCTCGGAGGTTACAAAGGATGCATCATCAACGCCTCCAAGTTTGGCTTCTTTGAATTCAAGTCGTTTGCCTGTTCTTCAATGGCAACATGTCGAAGCATTGTGCGATCATGATCATCTTGGTATGTTGTATGCACCCTCGATGAGGGCTGAGTCTGTGGCACCCAAAATAGCATGCGCAGCCACTCGGGTCTTCTCATGGTGCTCAATGGAAGCGTGAAGATAAGATGCAGCCTGTCGCCAGCAGCGTGCCCACTGAAGGAAGAACAAATGCAAAGCTCTTTGAGCTGAAGGAGTTGAAGAATATTTGCCGTACTGCCATGGCCCATAGCAACTCCGGTCCTCTTGGTGTCTCTGCTGCTCAATCAGGATCTTACCATACCAGAAGAGCGCAAAGCCCTCCTGAAGGTGAAGCAGAAACGAACGCACGCAGCGGAGAGGAATGAAAAAGAGCACATGACTCAGAAAAATGGCTGCAAATGGTAGTTGTGGATGTTTTTGGGTTTTGCTACATTGCTCCTTATGAGGTTTTAGGAAGGTTCCTAGTGTAGTCCCCTGGTGCCTCTGAGGAGGGTGTAGCTTTTCAGTGTTGGCGAGGGGTCATGCCAAGAAAGCTTGAGCCACACTCATCGTGGAAAGCGTCCACAGATTCGGCTTCCTCTCCAAGCACCCAGGCAACAGGACATCTGCTCATCTCTCCCGACCTGCCTCAGGCTCAAGCTCTAAGACGTCCAAGAAGTCGCTGCCTGGCTTCAGGGCGTCGAACATTGGGTTGCTAGGCTTCAAAGAAACATACTGAAAGGATGTTGCAACTACGACAATATCAGCCAAGCTGAAAATGACAAATATTGCAAAAAGTCTGTGATTGCAATTGTATGTGTATATATATATATATAGGTATACATATGCATATATAACCAACAAATGAGTCAATGAATCTGAATTTGCTTCTTGTCCCTCTGGGCCCCAGGCCGGCCGCTTCCAGATTCCCCATCAGGCGCAGCACCAAGGCACGACGCATCAAAAGCTCAACCAGAAAAGCCCTGGCCATGAATGAGACGTTATGTGGAGAGAACAGGCATAAAAGGCATCTCTGTCGCTCGGGGATGCAAATATGATTCAATTATGCTGTTACAAGGTACTTCACAAAAAGCTCGTGAAGACACACCCCAAACAGCCACATCTTTCAATGACAGCGCTGTCAACCCTTGAGATGACATCGTTCACTGCAACTCTTCAGCCTTGCATTCCTCAGCCCAGCCTGAGCTGTTGGGGCTCAGCCATGAGCTGCTCTTCTTCCCTCAAACGAGCAGAGTTTGGCTTCACTCTCCCAAAAGCTTGGGGGAATCTCTGGGATCGGCTTGATGTTTCTCCAAGACCGTCATTCAAGGGTTCTTTTAGGATCTGAGACATGCTCCTGCGTCCAGGAGTTTCCTCGTTGAAGGAGTGCTTTGAAGGACTGTCCCTGAGCGACAAGGGATTGGCACAAGACTGTGGGAACGAAGCTAGTGACTAGTGCAAAAAATCATTGGACGATGGCAAGGATCCCTGTAATCACTCGAACTCAACTGTACACAACAAGATTCAACAAAATAAGTTCTTCCGAGTTGTGATGGTCGCTATGATCGCTGCATCTCCGACTCGTGCAGAGCAGGCGGAGGCTCACCTGAAGGCACAGAAATCCCTCAACAAAAATGCCCCTTGCCGTGTAATTTGCACTATCTATATATATATAGTATAGTTAGTTAGTTACTCTTGACCTAGTGATGGGTTGCAGCAGCAACATGGTTGCATGCCGGGCGCGGTGTATACGAATCTGCTCTCTTTCTCTTGCAGCGTTTCCTTGTTGAACACGCGATGATTTCTTTGGTGGTGGAAATGCTGTGTGACTGTGTAATCTCAGAATCCCATCAGGTGAAGTTGTCTTATGCAGTCTTACACAAGGCATCCTTGGTCAGCATCCTAGGCAGGCCTACTGCCAGTACAACACCTTCCACGGATGGGTTGTCCAAAAGCATCCAAGCCTCTAGTCTCCTCAGTCCCCTCAGTCTCCTCAACACTCCTCTCCGGTGACTTCTCCTTGAACAAGGACTGTGACTCTTGTGACTCTTGTGACTCTTGTGACCCCGACGTGCCACACAGCTGCAATACGTGTGACTTGAAGGTGCAAAAATACGAACACACGCCTGAGGTCCCTCGAAGAGCTGTTCTTGGAGCTCTGCATCCTGTTCTTCCTCTGGTTCTTCCTGCGCTTCTTCTCCTGCCCTTTTCGTTTGTTCCATCTGGTGCTCTATTGCCTGCAGCAGTCTGACTCATGCTTGTGAACCACTGAAGTCAAGCTCCTCAATCTATATAGTCTGTTTGCTTTAGGAAACGTCAGATCAAGTGCTTTCCGCTTGATATGGCATTGTGTGTGTACATGTATGTGTGCCTGCGAAGTGTCGCTGATGGCACGGCTGTATTGGCGAAGGGCCTCAACCAGAACAAATTCACTGCAAAAAAATGCTTCTGGGTAACCGGCTCTAACCTCAGGCCTCTAAGAAGTTTCCCAGGCCACGCAACCTGAATGTCGGCTAAACAAAAGCCGTTCACCAAAAAGCTCAGAGATCGTCCAAGGAACGCATCTGCCAAGCCACGGCGAGCTACCAAGTGCACCGGCCTTGGTCGAATTTTCCAAAGAAAGAAAGGTGGTGTAAGGGACCCAACCACTCACAAACACCTGCTTTTTGCTGCTACCCATATTGTTCGATATTTTGATATCTTGATTTCCCCCTTCCAGGCCAAAACAGCTCTAGCCAAGGGCCTCGCTCTTCCGTGAGGACTTGTCGGAAGTCAGCCCTCGCTCGCTCAAAGTCTTGGACCTGCACGACCCAACACAAGCCGAAACTAAAAAGAAAATGAAACCTTCGATCTGTCCTTTTCTTCTGTTGTTTATCACCATATCTGGATTCTGCTTTGCACTATTAAATATATAGACCTTTTTGTTCCTCCCTTTCTTTCTTGGTCCGGCCTTTAGGCAGAGCTCTCCGCGCGCGAGCAAAGCTGGCTTGAAGCCAGGGAAGATGCCTAAGTCGTTTCCAATAAAATGATAGGAAGATTCGGAAAATTTAAGGACAAGGAGATGAAGCGCAAGTACATGTGCAGCTTCAAACCTTTCACACTGGAAACCTCTAAGAAGCGTACTGAGACAGCGATTCAAGTAGCGAATGGCGCCAGTCAAATCACCAGAGCGCTTTAAAGACAAAGACATCAGAACCTCAGCTCAACATCTTCAGGTGTGTTGCTGGAGAGGCCTTTTAGTCTGATACTGTCTGCGGCAACACTCAGCTTCAGGTGATCGGTGTATCATGAATACCTCCCATGATTTCAACATCTCTTTGTGCAGCTCAGCCAGCATAGATGTTGCGGTTGAACGAAGCATCCTTGCAATGTGCATCGTGACGACAACTCGGAAAGCGAAACTTGTACAAAGCAGAGCTCAAAGCGAAGCTGTCAAAGCTTCCAGCTCCTTATGGACCACCTCCGCAAAGTCTTTTTGAGCCCGGTCCTGACTAATGGTTGTGCTCCTATGTCCAATGTCCCAGAGAAGTTGCTCGCTGCTCATATCACATCATCTCTGAAACTTGCAGAAGAGCCGCACCTCCTCCCCCATGGCGAGGTAACAAAAGCCTCTGGAGACAAGAGCCTGCCATTGTTGACACATCTCGGCACAAGCGATATCGGAAAGCCAACCCTGATCCTGATGGACCACCGAGATAGAACTTGAGATAGAACTGTGCTTTTGAAAAGCGAACACTGGCTGTATGGTCCTCCGAACAGCGAACTGTCGGCAATCTTGCCGGCAAGTCTTGCAAGAACCCAGGTCTCAAGTCCAAGGCCATGCAAAAGTGCTGAGCAGCTTTCTCGTAGTCTCCCTCCTGTAAAGCATAAAGCATAGACATCTTCACATATGAATTCTTTGGGGTTACTAGTAGGTTGGAGGCCATCGCTGTTAGGTTGGAGACCATTACTACTAGTAACAAGAAGTTACTATATAGAAAGTTTCCCTGTAAAGAAGTCAAAGGACATGCCCAGTGGAATTCCAGCCCTGGGGGCCCACCACAGCTTGCCTGTCCCACCAAGTCTCCTGCATCTTCTGCCTGCCCCATTCTACCTGGTGTGAAGCGACCAGAATCACTCGAAAGGCACAGAATCCGTGGTGCGGCTGTGGCATGTTTAAACCCCATCTTGAACAGTGACACATCATGATATATACTCATCATACAAGTAGCGAATGTAGAACGGATGCTGTTTAAACATGCCACCAAGGCCACTTTCATCTTCAGCCACCCTTCCTTTGCTCAGCAGTTTCAAGCCAGCCCCTCCCCAGAAAGGAAGGCAACTGTCTATGAAGCAAATCACGCTGCCAATCTTGAAAAGCCTAGAACAGCACCACCCTCCCTCTTTTCCCAGCTTTGCTTCTTGCAGGAGTCTGAACTGAGGAAGTACTTACTGTCGGCATGCCTATGAAATAGGCCAACCACCCTTGAAGCAACTAGAACAATGCTAAACATGATCGACACTTTGGGACCTGTTCGGGACCCCACGTCCCCACCAAAGTCAGGTCGTTCAGGGCCAAGCTGCAACTGAGGTAAGGTCTCTCTTCACGCCGTCAACAATGAGAGGCATCCTCCAGTGCTTTTCACCGGAGCTGGTCGTTGACGATCATGGCTGCCAGTGGACCAGCTATTCGGTACACGGCAGCCAAAACTATAAAGGCCATGTCTAGTTGGCACCTGTTCAGCCAACAACGTTTTGCTCTGCTGTTCCAACTGTTCTGCAACGAAATCCAAACAGCTACTGACTCGCAGATGGCCTCGCTCTACTTTTGGCTACAGTAAAATGTTCTCTTGCAGCCATGAGGGTGATACTTGAGCCACCAGCAAAATCCAGTCAATAACGTAACGACGATCCTTATCGGTGCCCCATGCCTCCAGGATCCACCAAGCCCGCAAACCCCACAGCGACAGTTGTCACAGCTGCTATCCCCTTTCGTCCCTTTCGTCTGGCAAACTCTTTTGCTGGACAGCACTAAGTCCAACAAGCGCGTTCGTGGGCGACGAGACACATTCTCCCAATGCATCTATACTTTGGCATACTCTGGCCTCCGTCTCTCCATGTTTAACTCCCATGTCTTTGGGCGAGGATCTTCATTTGTAAGAAAAATTAGAGGTTCCACAAGCAAAACACAAGCAAACTTTGCAAAACACTGCACGGCGTGTTGTTGAGATATAAAAACAATATCTGAAATGTCAAAGATTTGCCTTCGCTTTGTGGAAGTGAAACAGCTCAGTTCGACTAAGCATCATCATCGTCACCTTCAGGTTTTCCGCCTTTCACCAGCTGGTCGAACCTAGGCAAACTGGACATGAGCAGTTGTAACAGTAGCATGAATATAATATTGAATTTAAACGATCCTATGAAAGTTGTACCCTAAGCAGTTTTTGGGTTCAAACATTCTGCAACCACCACGTGTGTGCAAAACAAGCTGGTGGCATGCACATGATGATTTCATTTCATTCTTCATATGATTGCCGGTCGTTGCAGGTGATCTCCTTATGTAAAGGGCTTGCTCTCTTCCTCTGGTCATGTTGGATCGTTCAGCCGCTCGTGGTTTTCCGAGCGGCATATCGTTCTTCCACTTGCCACCAGGAGAGCTGCCTCGCCTTGCAAGGACAATGAGGCCACAAGTCTCTCTATCTACTCTTCCTTTAAGAAAGTTCTCCTTGCAGGTTTGAGTTGGAGAAAGATTGGTGAGGCAAAAAATGGCCTCATCATATCTCATGAAATCTCACCATAGGATATCATGATCTTTCATGTCTTCCACTTGAGTTATCACAAACCTTCCAACTGCCTCATTGCAGGTGCAGCCTCGCCACGCCTCCGATGCACACCGAGTGACCGACCAATCTTGTGTCAGAAACGCACACAAAGGGCAGGCTTCAGAAACCGTCAGAAATTCAAAGAAAGAAGAAAAGAACGAATGGTCGAAATTGTGAAAGGGTCTATATAAAAGAGAAAGAAAAACGCTCTATAGTTTCAGATTTATGAAATCTGAAAACTGAGACCTGTGGAGCCTTTCAACACAAAGGATCAGAGGCCTTCAACACCTTTGCGTCCTCTCCCCACTGCAATCCCTTCCAGAAACACTTCTCCCTCAAACCTTCCTCAAAACTCTCCTAAAGAACTGGACGCGCAACATTCTGCGGAAGCAAGACTTGGCAATTGGCAAGTCTCAGTGTTTCCATGCTCCTTGCATCAAGTCTTGTCACCTTACTATTCTATTCTACATTCAGACAAAAACAAAGTGAACCACTTCCGTTTCCACATCTCTGACACTCACACAGAATACATGTGTAGTCCTCTACATGATGGAACCAACTCGTCAAATCCTTCTACCTTGCCAGTGATATGCACCCCTATGACAGCCCATCATGCAGCCTGTCATCGTGCTCGCTGTAGTTTCTGGCCAGCGGGACGCCCGTCAATTTTTCAGCCTGGCGGGGCAGAACAAGACCATGCCTGGGATCATACATCCGGGATGACCAATGTTTGCAAGTGTAGAGGTGTTACTTGCAACAGAACCCTCTGCCTTGATTTGATCGATGAAAGAGGTTTAAGCAACAAGCAATGTAGGTCCGTTCTGTCTTGCTGGAGCGCGACTTCTACTTTCTGCTGCTGGTTGGCACTTTTTCGTCTGACCAGCAAGCTCTTACTTTGTTCTCACAGAAGCTGAAGAGTCCTGAAATGCAATTGTGGCATATTGAGCAGCAGAAAATAAGAAACGATTCGAATGACGGGCTGATGCGTCAAGCTTAAAGTTTGTCCGAAACAATTCATCGATTGGATATCCTTTTGGTCAAGCTTGGAGAAAGAATGGTTAGTCAACCTCCCCGGGGCCAAAACAACTGGGCGTGGCAGGTGGAGATTCCCCTTGTGCTCCTGGACTCCAATGTGCAAGACCTGAAAGCAAATTGGTCATCTACATGAAATGCGGGCATGGGATGGAAAAAAGGACATTGGTAACCCTAACAGATTTGTCTAATCATGGCAAGCATGGTGCAAGTACACCTGGAGCCATGCAAGTCAGCTCTTTTCAAGCGGCAGTGTACTGGCTAAGGCAGCACAAAGGCAACCGCAAAGCATATGGTCTCTCTTGTCTTGTGTTATTGAGGTTTACGCATACGTAGCCGAAATATGGTGGCCATAGGCACAGCCTTTCCAACTACCTGTACGAAGCAAACCAGGAACTTCTCAAACGATGGCCATGCAATCACGGCCAAGGCCTATTATTGGTGTGAAACTCTGGACAGATTGAAGAAAAAACACGTCTTCTGAAGACGATCGTCACTAGGAGTCACTGAGGTCTCAAGACACCGCGGCGGTTTCGGGACACCTCAGGACCTCTGGCGCCTCCTTCTTTACTTTGGCCTTGGTCCGGCCATCACGCTCCAAACTTCCATCCTCCAGCTCAAAGGCGGGGGCGAAGCTACCGTCCGGCCTGCGAAGAGCTGGGTTTGGCAGGGTATCGCCCACACCACCCAAGGAGGTATAGCCTTGGTCATAGAGTTCGCAGTAGGGAAATCCAAACTGCCTCAGAAAGGCCCAGACGTGATGATAGGACCACTTCATGATGGGGTTTATCCGCATAAATGCTGGCCATCCATCTGTGGAGGGTGTGAATGCATCGACCCCAGCCATCCATGGATCGACGCTGCGTTGACCCATCACCACCGCCTTCACATTGTTTGCTACTAGGGATTCCATGCCCAAACGGAAGGACTGATGCTGCAAAGTGATCATTTCCAAGTCCAGGCTTCTCACAACCCATGTCACCTAAGCTCAAGGCGAAAGCGGGCAGGTCGCCACGTTGGGCACCTGTTGGCCTTTGTACTATATATACAGACATATTATATATTCTTCATATGCTGTATATTTTATATGCTCGGAATCAGACTCAGGCAGGACCATGAACACGTCAAATCTGCACAAGTCATTTCTGGTTTTCCCATTCATAGGGATTGAGCCAATCCAATCAGTTTAAAGCCCTCGACTACCGTTGGACTTCTTCCTAGCACTGATTCAGTGGCTTCAGCATGTCCCTAAATTGACAAGTCACAAATCTCTTCACTTTGCTAAACTCATCGCCAGAGTCAAAAAAGATCACTTGCGGTGTTTCTGGCAGCTCTTCATCCATGGCCAGCAGCACTGCAAGCCAGAGATACAGCACCTCCAATGATGATTCCAGCTAAGCTAGTCTGCCACTATGCACGGGATATCCTGTAGTTATACTTATATAGTGAGAGGATGCTGATCGAAAACCAGAAACGCCGAAACAGGAATCCCTTTGCCATGCCATGGATATATCATGGATGAGTTTAGCAGTGTGGACAATGATCAGGTACTAATCCTAAAACGTCGGATCCTCTGCTGGATCCGTTGCATGAATGTCTTCGCTCCAGCAACTAAGTCTCCAGCGACACACGCATCCTTGCCGCCATTGAAGGACACCGTCAACTCCCCAACATGAGGATACAGCATCGCTCCACGTCGGCAAATGCTGGAGGACTCGAAAAGCACAGCTGCAAAACTTTCATCCTTGGCTCGGTCCGTCGTCCTCCAACTATGTTTGCTGTCTAACAGCTGAGAGCTGTTGTACCAAGTGTGTTGAATTATACTTCAAAAAAGCAAAAGAGTCTGTTGATGGACGCAAAAGAAAATTAACAATCATAAACACACTGTACTGTCAGACTCGTGCTGACTGAGGCCGAGATTCTTCTATTCCAAATTCTTTGTGCAGGCGTTGCCTTAAAGCAGCCTCATCCTTTTCTCGCAGCACGTCAGCTAGACGCTGAATTGGGCGACTACCAAAATGTCCAACCGCAAAACTCTGTCCGTCGACTGCATCATCTTCGAGAACAGCCCCCATAGGCCCTTGTCATGGAGCCGCACAAGAGTTCAGCACTTCGAGCCAAAAAGAACAAGAGTTTGTCTTTGAGAAATTGTCCCAAATGACAAAGACAAGAAGCACAAAATTTGCGGCTGCTAAACTGCTCAGGTTAGGACTAATCGAAGTCTGCGAGCTGCACACAATGGCCTTGCATCACCACCGGGTCAAATAGAACATCGAATATCATTGGTACAATGCAGATTGGCCTGGTCAATAGCAACAGGACAAAGGAAATGGGAGCTTGGCTGGAGCTTGCATGCTAAAGCCAACAGCTGCGGCTTGTAAGGATGAAAAGCCGACAGGCCTACAATATGCATGACAGTAGCGAATGTTAAGAAACTCAGGTCAGGTGTACCTCAAGGTCAGGATTTCTGCCATGTCCAGGCGCCTAAGCACACAGAGTCATCACTGTGGAGCCTGCCAGAGTCACTGTGGGTGCAAGGCCCATTTGGGTCGTTCGGCATCGCGACCATTGAAAGCTCCAAAGTCCATACCTCTTCGCCGCTCCATGTTGTGTTTTCTGTAAAGTGTTGGGTGTAACGCCTCCATTTCGTCCTTTAGGTGATTACGCTTGACAGTTCGTGCTCTGAACAAAACCAATACAGAGTTCAACAATTGGAAGACTTCGCACCTCGCCAATCTCGTCCTCCTCCTCTGCGCGTGTCCCGTCGATCGCCCCGATCATTGTTCATGGCACGACTAGTTTGGCCTGCAGCATGGAATCGGATGATGCACTTTGTTGACCACAATCGACCACAGCGGGTCACATTGATTCCATAAAACCTTGGAGCCCTGCTGTAGTCACCAGGAGGGCCACGGGCAAGTTGATAGGGCCTCAAACCCAATGACTCCCTGTTGATCGTGATGCACCTCTAAGGTCGTTTGGATCCAAAAGGACAACCTCAGCTCCATGCGATGGATATGGACCCCAGGGGCCCGCTCCATAAGCGACCTTAGCACAAAGAAAGCCGCTTTCTGGAAGCAAAACCCTGCTCAGGTAATCCACTTCTGGTGGCTAAATTGGTCATTGAGACAGCTGCTGGATATCCGGGCATACCATATGGCATTCCAGGAAAGGAACCTTCAAAAGCAAGCCTAGATTGGCCTAGATGAGACACTGCACTTTATCATTTCTTCCAGTTGTCAGTTGTCAAGAGTTTTCTTCACAGCCTGGCATCGGAGGCCCGTCACCTCGACGCCGTCGAGATCTACCTTGGCAGGAGTGGTTTGTGTCACCTTGTCTGCACAAAACGCCGCAGTTTGACGGGTATGCAGCTATCCCTTGTTGAAGCATGCTTTGTCATCGGTTTCTTTGTTCTCTTGCTTCCAGGATCCTGAGCTTGTTTCAGATTGTTTCAGCATTTTTCCGAAAGGACAGGTGGCCATTTCCCTCCACAGCAACCAAAAAAGATCAACAAAGGCACTCAGAGCCCTACTTCGACTTCTCTCACGTCGCTTCCGATCTCGGCCTGGGCTTCAGCAGTGTGGCTAACACTCTGACAGGAATGACATACAGGGCCGATACTCTTGCCCCGTTCCTTGTTCTTTTTGCCTTTTGTCCTCAGATCCCGTATCGACAATAACTAGCTGACTTGTGTAGGAGATTCTGTGGCACCGACCGCTCTTCCTCCTGTTCCAGCGGAAAAAAGAGTTGACGTCCAAACGACAACCAAACAGATTATGAAAGATTCGCCACAAGAACAACGTCAGCCTCTCCCTACCAAAACGGAAATGCAAGTTGAAATCGTCCTCTTCCTCATCATCCTCTTCTTCGTCCTCCTCTTCATCATCGTCGTCATCACTACTTGATTCTTTAGCCTTGGAATTCAAATCTTCATAAAAGGCAAACAAGCACTACTACCGTTGGAGCATTATTCCGGCCTTTCAATGTCAAGCCAACCTCAGCACGAGACCTTTTTTCTCTTTGCTTTACTGTTCTTTTTTTTGGCCTCAATTGTGGTACATGATGCAACTAGCTTGCTGGTCATCTCGCAAGCTTTGAATCATACAATACTATGATGAGTGGGATGTCGACAAATGTCAGACTCGGTTTTACTCCGCTTGAACTGTCATGTCACGCACAATAGCAAACTTTCCATGCTCCACCTTCTGTCTATCTCTCTCTCTCTCTATCTCTCTGAAGCTTCTCACACGCCATGCTTCTATTATACTTTGGTTTGTTCGCATGTCACCCATGGTCCAAACTTGTACTTACGCATTCTTGGAAATCATGCAAAAGCTCAACAGCCTTTTGCATGCTTCACGGAAAGCCTCGACGGCCTTTTTGCCCTTCTTCTTGTCTTTGGCAGTCGCCTCTACGTCAAGGGACAAAGCGGGGAGAGTCAGGGCAGAAATACCGACTTCCCAGCCTTGGTGACCTTCTTGGTCCCCGACTTCCTTACGTTCAGATGCACCAAACTACTGACGGTGTCAACACAAAACGACTCCTTCCCACCTTCGACTTTTGCTGGAGGAAGAAGACTCTTCGTCACCTGACACAGGCTCACTCCATTGGCCAGGCAAGTGCTGCAGGTAGAAAAGAAACTTCAGATTTAAATCACAGAATCACAGAAAGGGTGAAAGAGTAAACCTGAGAGCAAATCCAACTTCAAGTAGACAAGTCCAGTTCATCTTGGGGGTTCTTGGCAAGTTTCTCTTGCTGGTGGCTTTAATGTTTTCTGAGCATAGCACTATCAGAGTCGCTCTCTGACTCGCTCGAAGACCTCAGGTGCGAAGGATGCTCTTTGTGGGGAAAGTTTGCAGCGACAGCTCGCCTCAAAAAGAGCAGGTGCCGCTCAACAGATGTTGAAAACAATATCTTTGTTGAATGGGGAACAAACACCTCCTTCCAGGATTGCTTGATTTAACGAATTTACCATGGTATATCGATCTGCATAAGTCGACACGAGACCGGTTGAAAGAGATCATCTGTTCTGCGAATATGGTGAATCATCTTAACCTAATTATATATGGTTGTATACTAATGTCCAACAGTGTGGATCACTGTGGTAGATCAAAAATCCATTTTGCCTGCAATTGGAAATGCCTCTGGCTCGGTCATGCTCAGTTCATGCATGATGCAGCACCAAACCCAGGAGCCCCAGCGACCGCTTCCTGCCACGAGGTTGAGCTGAGAAGTCGTTCATCCGCAGTGACAAGCCCCTTCTTTGCTCTAGTTTCACGTGTACATTAACTCGACAAAAAAGAATGGGTTCAGTTGCATAACATGTATTTCACACACAAATTCTTGCCTACCTCTCCTCAAATGAATGCAAATCGGTTCATTTGCATCAAATGTGCCCCAGGATGCCCCGGGGAGCAAAGGAAAAAATCACATGTGTCGATTAGCAGACCAGCCTTCCCATGTGTCTGGCTCCCCTGACTACCGATCTGAGCCAAGGGTTTCTGCTAAGCACGGGACTATTGTATCCATTAAGACTATCCCTTGTGAGAAGGCCACTAACATGCCACACAGCAATGCAAAGGCTTCGGCCAAAACTATGCTTGAAATCAAACCAGTAAACCAGTGATCTTGTACAAACTCTGTGTTTGGCAGTTGCTCGTCACACATGATGATGGCCAGCACTGCATTTTAAAGCCACCACGTCTTGATAGGCAGCATACGAATCTAACTCCAACCAATTGTCCTGGTGTGATTTAAATCATTTAAGTGCTAACCAGCAAGATTTAAGCGGTCAACATACAACCAGGAGGGCAGAGTTGCAAGCAACCTGATCCAGTTTAGCACATTGTGAAAGTTCTATCTGGGCGCACTAATTGCTCTTCCCAGCTTGGCTGGGGCGGCAAAGAATCATCTGAAGTCATTCCTGCGTTTCAATTGATGAATCTCTCCTAGAGGCTATATAACTATATACTCCAAATAGATCCCTCCCTAATCCGTGCAGCTATTCCATCACTTCTTTCAGGGCAACGCCAACAACCAGCAAAACAAAAATCACTCCAAAGGCAACAGCCACTTTGCCACCGATGTCACCCATCGGCATGAAATACCTTTCGGCGAAACAAGGCTGCCACTGAGGATTCTCTGGATTCCGGCATCAAGGGTTGAGGTCACTGTTCATCTACCGAGCCCAATTGAGACAAGGAATCCATCAGGAGTTTTGCACATGTCTCTCATGCAAGTCCAGTACGGCCCCCAGCCCGAGACACTCTGTGGAGTAGATCGTGCCGAAGCCCAAGTAGAGGAAGACCACCACACCAGGCACAAAAAAGGCGTATGGGTCGCCTCAACCAGCCAGTACTACCGCAAGCGTGGGCCCAAACTAGTAGCCAACCCCATATGGCCCATAAGGCCTGGCTTTATACTGTATGGCCATTGTCCAGAAAAGTCACTTTCCTGGCCCTTGCCTTCTGCATCCTTTTCAACCTTTTCAGCTTCTCGCCTCAACTCCTGCAAAAACTTGTCAGGAACGAGTCAACCGGGTTGTTGTGGCAGCACTAGTGCAGAATTGTTTATGGTGCATAGCAGTAAGGGGAGATTATCTTTCTGTCTTTCCTGCCTAGGCACCAGGACCATAAAGAGAGCGAGCGGGCGAGGGAGGGAGTGAGTCAGTGAGGGTGAGAGGGAGTGAGGGAGTGAGGGAGAATAAAATTGGCACGGTCTCGCATATATTACTGGGAAATAGACCCAAGTCCCTGTCCTTCTTCTTCAGATCTTGTGATGTCTCTTCAGGAACAGCAGGTAGTCGAGTGAGGAGAGATCTCCCTTGCGCCTGGTGGTGTCAGCCGCCAAGTTTGGAAAATGGGTTTGGCAATTGAGGACAATGAGCTTTTGCAGTCCTCAGTGGTCACTGAAACAAAGGCAGTTCCCAGAAGAGCACCCAAAAAGGTGATAGCCAGAGCAAACGTCGTGCAGGAGGTAGCTCTTCCTCAGTGAGTCAGAACTTTCGTTTGCGTGTGTGTGTGTGTGTGTGTGCACGCGCTCTCCCTACCTTCAGTAACAAGGTCCATGGTTATCTTCGGATTGCGCACGTTCAGAATGTCTTTGCAGTTCAAAAGCAATGGATGAGTCGGGGAAGGAGTGGAAAAGGATATGTTGACCTCCGAGCTATCTGCAGAAGTAATATTATGTGACATTGTGTTTTATTCCCGAAAGTTGCATGCCACTCATAGTCAGAAAGTATCTTGTGCATCTGTTGTGAAAAGGTTGCACCTAATTGGTAAGCAATGAAAGGGATTTAGGCACTAGAGTTTTCTTCGACACCAAGTCTATAACGTCTGAAAAAGAACAGTGAAAGGGGATCCTGAAAACTCAAGCTCTGTAACTGAAGACATGAAATGGCCGAGAACGCAAGAAGGAGAAGGAACAACACAGGAGAACGGCACGGCTATTACCCGTGTTGTTTTGTGGGTAGTTCACAGACAAAGTCTTGCAAAGCCGAGCATCTGCACTTTCTGTTGGGCTTCATGAGCACTCTAAAGAGCTTAGTTTACAATGCAAAATCGGTTGTGTCGGTTTATTTGTGCCGTGAGGCTTTCTACCATGGTCAGAACTGCTGGAATCTGGACTTTTCTCATCAATGGCAGTTGGACAAGCGAAAACCTGTAAGAGCGTTGGGAGAACACAGCTATGCTTGATGCAAAGCTTCATTAGGAAAATCTGATCAACCTTCAGCTTGAAAAATACAGTAGTCAGCACATCTTTGCATGACGGGCTTTACATGTGTCCTTGAAGTTCACAAAAATGTATCCTGTCAACTGTTTCACTGTTGAATTATTTGATCTTTGTTGAACGTTTTGGTTTGCTGAATCCAAAATGCACAATTAGCGCGCCGCCATTCTTTTCTGCGCTAGGACACCATGCAAAGAGCAGCAACAATCACACACCTCACTTGCACACCGCGTCAACTCTGGCATCAAGCTGTTGATCGAATCGGCATCCAGAAAAGGATGCTTGTGTCACTAAAGGGATAGGGATAAGTTCGAGACCTTAAGCCTCTTAAGTGTTCATTCCAATTGCCTTTGCTGAAGCTGAAGTAGCTTTGCAAAGCTAAAGCTCCACAGGGTCAGGAAAGCCAAAAAGGCCTGTACTTCCTTAAAATGCTACTCAGCTTTCAGGTCGCTTCCTCTGATCATTACTCGCACATTTACAAGGATTGCGGCTTGCTTTCCCCTGCTACGGATGTGTTCAACCCGTGCTTTGAGCTGTCGGTCTTCCAGTAGCGTGTGGGTCACGACGCATTGTGAGGTATGGCATGTGGATACTGCACTTCAATTTGGGGTTCTGACCTGGCCCATGCGGGTCTACGGCACTTGCAATTTTTGAGGCCGTTTGGCAAAATGCAAACGTCTCCTAATATTTCTATTGCCTGATTTTTGGACGGGCATTCACCCCGTTCCTCGCCATCTGGCAAGGGGGTTCTTGCACATTTTAGCCTCAAAACGGCGAAGCCTCTCTTGTTAGTCACGGGCAGTCCAGCTAAGATCCGAAACCCGTTATAGTCCAAAGTTAAGAAGTACGTTCAGGCCGGTGTCTGAAATTATGTTGAAATCTGTAAAAAGTGAAAAAATGGTAGAAATTGCCATTTTCTTCACTTTGAGAAATTGCAAAAAACGGTCGAATCACAAAAAAATATTGTTTTTATTCACTTTTTGACAGTTTTGAGAAAAGTGTGTTTTTCATAGTTTTTACATATTTTCCCGTTGGTGGAAAATGCAAAAAACTGGTTTAAAACTAGTTTTTTTGTTTTTTTTGACCTGTTTGTAAGTCTTCAAAAAAGGACAACCAGCCACATGCTCTCGCCTGGGCATACATGCGGACACTGGTGGAGAAGTCTTCAACACCCTACCCTACGTCCTGGGCAACGTCCCTCGAATGGTCATCTCGCCCCACGTGATTTGACTGTCCATCCCGAAAACAAAACACAAAATCCACCCAGAAACCGGAAAGGAACACTTTTCGCGCGGTTTGGAGCTTGTCACTGCTTTGCAGCGCTGACGTATTTGTCCAATTTCTGCTGCACTGGTTTCGCTTTCTTAGAAGCACCCCGAGCATCTTTTGCAGATCCGCTACGTTTTCGGGTCTGTGGGGCCACTATGTCCCACGAAGAACCATGCTTGGAAACTCTCTGGTCTCCAATCCACTGAGGGGGAGGCAAGTCAGTCAATTGTCTCATTGACTTTGGCATAGGCAACACTTTGTGTTTTCGCCATCTGGTGCTTGCCAACATCACACTGCCGATAGCTCCAACAACCGGAACGCTGATCGTGTTGCCGGCCACGCGGTTGAGATCTATGTCCTGAGATTGCCACGCTGCAAAATCAAACGCGTAACGGACGCACCCGCACCCCTCCCCACCTTTGATCGTTTGTTCACCAGATAGCGACAGCTAGTGGGTTTCTATTTCAAATTACACCACCGTAGACCCCAAACAGTTTGTGTTTTTCAAAATCGAAACTAGAGCTTGCGACGTCCAGAGCTGGGAGATAAATGTAAAGGATTGCAAGGCAGAGACGGACACAGCAGTACAGAGCGGGGGGACACATCTTAAGAAAGAAGTGACAAGCCCTAACAGTAAACCTTTTGGGGAATTATTCTTCAAGCGCGAACATGATGCTGGTCATGCTGCTCAGTCAGCGGGGAGCTGACCACGTGAGGACAAGAAACAAAAGCATGAGGAGCGAAGGATGTGACATGAAATTGATTTTTGGTGCCTGACATATGCCCTCCGCCCCAACTGAATAGAGAGATCGCTGCCACGCCGCCGAAATCCAATCCGGTCATTCATCCAACGGTTGCCCGAGAAGGAAAACAAAGCTGAGAGAGTTACACAGTGTGGCAGGAATGCAATCCCGGAGACAGTCACGCACCCCTTGCAAAGGAGCAAGAACCTTTCACAGGCGAACCTGTTCCAGCGGACAGGGCAGAAAACAGCAGCGCAGGCACCAAACCTGAAAGACAAAAAGAAAGAAGTCACATGGGAGACAAATGAATAGAAATGCTACATGGCCAGCGGAAAAGGGCGGCAGCACCAGTGACAGACCCGGAAAACAAATTAATAGAAATGCTGCATGCCCAGCGGAAAAGGGCGGATACCAACAGTGACAGACCTGGGAGACTAATGAATAGAAATGCTGCATGGCCGACGAAAAGGGCGGACACCAGCAGTGACAGACCTGGGAGACAAAACACTGGCAGTGACAGACCTGGGAGACAAATGAATAGAAATGCTACATGGCCAACGGAAAAGGGCGGACACCTACAGTGACAGACCTGGGAGACAAATGAATAGAAACAGCGGAAAAGGGCGGACACCACCAGTGACAAGCCTGGGGGACAAATGAATAGAAATGCTGCATGGCCAGCGGAAAAGGGCGGAAATTAGCAGTGACAAAGACAAATGAATAGAAATGCTACATGGCATGACGGACCTGGGAGACAAATGAAGCATTCTGGGAGATAAATGAAAAGAACCGGGAGACAAATGAAAGCAAGTGGGAGACAAGCGGGCCGGGAACCCGACCACAAGCACCCAGCCTGGGAGACAAATGAAAAGAAGTGGG